ATCAGTTGTTTGCGTCAATAAATTTTCATATAATTCATTTGCTTTGTCAAATTGCCCTAATTGTATCATTAATTGACCAAGTCGATACCAACCATTATAATCTGAAGCTGTTTCTTCTTGTATACGTTTAGTTAAAGCATGTAATTGTGGATCAGTATCACATGTCGATGTTAAATCCACCTCCCATAGACATTCACAGCCTTCAATTTGTTTGATTTGCCCTATGCGAAAGATGGAATGCATAGAGAAGAGAATCTCCTCTTCATCATTATAATAACTAATATGCTTAAGATTCGCGAATGGAGACGAAGATTTTAATGAATCGATAGTTATCGTAAAGAGAGCAGATAATTGATAAGTGTCATTTTTAGCACTCATAGCGAATCCAGTAGCTACAACTTTATCGAGACTTGTCGACAAGAAATTGTTAAAGGATATTAATCCACCTTGTGTATTTTTCAATTTGTCAAAATCTTTCTGAGATAAAGCTTGACCTCGATATACAGTAAACGAATTGGAACCCTGTTCTGCCGTGTACTGTTGTGAATGCAATGCGACAATATCATTCTGTAAGTCGCGAACAAAAAATCCCGATTTAATAATGAAATCGACTTGCATTTCACGTAATCCTCTGTTGATCATAGAACAAAGAGCACCGCTCTTCGTATACCACCAAATAGGTCGGTATTGATTATATTTTTCAGATAGTTCTTTGATGGTCATAAGTTCATCGGGATCACAAACAGGTCGTTCGCGGTAAAACGTAAGAAAATCATCGATGTGTTCTTGCTTGAAATCTATCGTAAGTAGAATTTCCTTCAATATTTTCGAATACATAAAAGATGAGTCTAATGTATCGAGATCTGAATTCAAAATTTCGTCCTTTTCAATAAAACTGATAGATACCAAATCCTGGATACAATCTTGAGCAGTTTGCTTCAATGTTTCACAGAATTTTATAATATCGGTGAAAACCAACTGCACTTTGTACCATCCTTCGATACACTTTTCATATTTTTCTTTATCTTCAGAATAAAGATAAATACAATGTACTTGAGTAATATCTTGAACAATAGGAACAATAGCTTGACATAATGACCCAGGAATTATCATAACTATTTTCTTTTCTTCGTCGTCGGTGATAAAATTGATACATTCATCGACATCAGTGAATGTATTGATAGTATTGACAACTCCATGCAGTTTTACAATAGCATTGCTATAAATATCGTTGTTAGGATCATCAATACTTTCGTATAGCCAAACTAAGTGATAATTTTGAAATGTTTGAGCATTACGTGATCTATGCGATCTTGTTCTCGAAGATTCATCAGATGTAAAAGTTGTTGATGATTTTTTGTCCATCGTCGCACGTTGTGTTATTTAGTAAACAAAACGGCTTCTATGTATAATGAATATTTGATTATAGTTTGTCTTTTCACTCAATTCTTTCTTTCTGTTCTGTTGCATGTGTGGTTATGAGAACAAGACGAATAAAAAAAAAGAGAACGGCACTTTATTACTAAATACATAGTTACACCAAAAGATGAAATATGATATGTAGGAATAAATCAAAATAAACTACTTGAGGGTGTGGGTGTGGGTGTAGTAATGGATAAATATCGAAAGAGAAAACGTCGAAGAGAAAAAATGAATTAATCATTACAGACTGGCATGTTAACGCTGATCTGAAAAAAAGGAGGAATAGGGAGGATTCAATTAAAATTTTTTTGAGGTATGTGCTGCAAAATGGGAGGAGAAATGGAGAAGTCATTTTTTATGATAAAAAATGACTTGTATGAGTTTTTTTAGTACGGATATTTGCTTCGGAAGACATCTAGTAATGGTTTTATAATAGTTTCACAATGTTTATTCATATCTTACAAAACAATAATGAAAAATCAATCGCCTACGAGAAAACAATTATAAATCAAAACTGAAACATCTGATAAATCATAACAACAATCTTGTATGATTATTTCATAACAATGAAAATTCTTTTTCAAGACATTTTATCACTTTCATTTTTTGACTGTTCAGAAACTAATTTATTTTCCTTTTTTAATCGTTCATGTTCAGCACGAACTCGTTTTTGTTGAATTATGAATACATTTTCGATGATTTTTGTCATTTCTTCGTCAATAGATTTCTAACCAACTAAAGTACGAACAACTAAAAGTCCGAGTAAAATGTTTGATTTTTTTCGTGTATTTTCAAAGAAAAATTTTTTTTTTTCAGTTAAACTTTTAGTCCATAGTACTAGAGTAAGTACTTTATTGAAAAGGAAATTATTCTGTGAAAGCGCGATTTTTTTTCTTTGAAAATACACGAAAGAAAACCAAACATTTTACTCGGACTTTTAGTTGTTCGTACTGTAGTATGGAATTTAGTCGAGTAAAGTGGTATTTCTTATTGAAATATTATAATCTGAAAATTTTTAAACTTTTAATGTCGAACATTTAGTGACTCTGCTATCAAAATAAAAAAAGAAGGCGTAGGAGGAAGTTTATAGTAAAAAAAGGAGCAAGAGGATATATTGTGGAAAAAAGGAGGAAAAAGAAGAGCATTAACCAGCCAGATTACAGACAAATATAATAGGATGACTGAATGTATGATACATACCCAGTCTGATTTGCTCTGATCGTCAAATGTGTCTCTTTGTTCAGCTGATGTAATCATGTAAATCCAAGCACTGTTGACAATTTTTAAGTCTTAAAAACTAAAAAAGATGAGATAATGTCAATTATAATTTGTACGCAATATATTTGTTCAATTAATAAAATCTATTATAAATTCATAGCGACTATTTCTTACTCATATTTTATTCGACATTTTTCTTTTCGATATTTTTTCAGTTATTCTTATTGGCGACCTCCTTTTCTTTTCTTTTCTTGATAATGTTGTGAATAACGCACGTGTTTATTCTATTGATACCTCGAAACAGTTATCTTTTTGTTTCTTTACTACCCATAAATATTTCGTCGATTTCTTTTTTCTCGTTACATATATACAATATATAACATGCGTTGGTGGTTAAAATCATTTGTGTTAGGTAGTTTTATTGCATGGATTATTTATAATCGTCTTTGGACATACCAAGTAAATTCATTTTTTTAAATTAAAATTAGAAAAGATTGATTTAGTTTTTTAATATATATATTTAGCTTATTCGAACACGTACAAAAGGTTTATCTTATATTTCATCTTCTTTGGAAAATAATACTGAACAATATTATTTTTATAATCGTTCACAACAATTAAAATCTTCATATTTTGAATGTGAAAATAGAATTTATGCTCATGGTCCTTGTGGTAATCTTCAAATTTCACCATTAGAAAGACCTTGTACACCACCAATACATCTTCATCTTAATCAAACAGAATATTTTACACTTATTCAAGGTCAATTAGGATATCAATTAAATGATAAAATCTATTCATGTAACATTCATACATGTCCAAAACCTCTAATTATTCCACCTCAAACTGCACACACATTTTGGATGAATGATAACAAAGAAGATCTCGTTGTTCTTATTCGTGCTGAACCAGCGAATAGATTTAATGGACTTCGACAAGAATTTTTTGAAAATTTTGCTGGTGTTTTACGTGACGATTCTATTTCTATTTGGCAAATATTTGTACTTTTTGAAAATGCTCAAACATATCCAGCATCATTACCATTACCTATTATGAAAACTATCGTTAGAGTAGGTGCTATTATTGGTCGAATACTTGGTTTTAAACAACAATATGAAGAATATACAACAACTACAGGCGAAATCAACTAATTAATGAAAAGATATCTTGACAAGAAGGATGAATATAATGGGAAGATGAAATATTTTCAATAGAAAGCTTGAATAAATTTTCTTTATTGTATATAAATAAAAAAGAAAACGATGGTCTATTTATTGTCCTGTATAGATATTTATTTTAAGACGGTTCAAGGATATTCAAACAAATCATTTGTATACGGTCTAAAGTATGACGTTAGTTATTGTGAATAATGTGAACTGGTGCAGTTCGATTTGTGACAATAATATGACAAGTGAGATAATGTAAAAAATTTTTGATCAATTGTTTGAACTGTTTACGAAGTGATGGAGAAACTACCATGTAGATATAAAAGTTGAATACATAACCTATATAGCTAAGCACTCCAGTAATCGTAAGAGCAACATTTTCTTCTGCTTGTCGAAGAGTACTTTTCTGTGTGGACATGGTTAGTAAATTGTAGATGGTCTGTGTTGTATATGCAATTGTACCAATTAAAACAAAAAAAGCTTGAGCACTGACCATTTGTGTCAATTGCTGTTGAACTTGTGTTCGCATTTGTCTTTGATGAAGGTATTTGATATTAGCATAGGCTAAGGCAGCAAAGACAATCATAATGAAAGTAGGAATAATGCCAAGAAGAAATGGTGTAACAAAGTAAGTGATGTAGTTTCGATAGATTACACTATTGGAAATCGAACATGAACTGATATTAGTAGTTTTGGAAACGTTAATTTGATTATAGATAATCAGTGGTAAACTGTGTAAAAACGACAGAAAAAATGTCAACGAGACCAAACGACGTGCTGTTTGTACTGTGGAAAACTGACGAAGACGAGCATTGCTTGATGTCGATAAGTATTGATCCATCATTGCCCAAGCAGTACAAAGTAGAGAACCAAGAGAGGAGAAGTGCCCAATATACTGTCGTAGTTTGCACCAGACTAATGATGTTGATGATGGATCCAAAATAAAATTTGGCAAAAAAATGCGAGAGAGAAACGAAGAATTAAGTAATGCTAAATTACCGATAGATGATGCTAAAAGATAAATAGACGATGGATTCTTTCGTAATCTTTTCATCGAAAGAAACATCAATAGACATAAAACGTTGCTTAATAGCCCAGAGATATAAAAAAATGAAGCAACATATAGATTTAGTTGTTTGCTGATGTAATTTAAATAGATGACGGTTGTAGAGGACATGTTTGCTTATCGTTTCAATATTTGACTGACGTTAATATAGAAAACTGAGCGTGTTTTAATAGTTTTATCAAGTAATGGAAATGCGTAACTCCTTCGCTTTATATAATTCAATAAAGAACATTAATGAGTTCATTAATTTACTTCATCGCCAGAAAGTTATACGAAATATAATAAGACACAGTGTGTGTTCATACTATTTTTTGCACGTATCTCCATCTGTGAATATCTATTGAAAATATAACAAATTACAATGATCATTAGTGAGTATTATCTCATACGCAATTCTTCGATGAACGATGAGTACATATAATCTACTGATTGACTTACACTCAAAAATTACAGTACAATCTTATGGAATACATATAGTTGAATGAATGAACACGTGGACAGAGAAGAGGAATGATTAATCCTTATCTTTGAACATAATTGATAACAAATAACAATTGTAATGGACAGCATCGAAAAATGAGTGAATCATTGAGATTTTTATCCAGCCATTAGATAATACCATCGGTTTGACAACTTTACATATCTTATAAAGGTTGTAGTATTCTGCTAATGATCATGAATCAATCAAGCACAAAACATTTCAATATGTTTTTTTAAATGACACATATGGTTGCTATTTTATCTTTTATCTAAGTAAAATTCAATGGTAATCTGTTCTTTATAACAATGTGATAAAAATACAAGTACGAATACAGAAATTCTGAATCTATTTATCTAATAATAAAAAAGTAATATACATTATTGGTGTGCATAGACATATATTGTTATTTATATCATTTTCATATGGATTGTAATTCAAGTTAATTATTTATTCTCTAATAGACAACGTCTTTTTAAGTTATGAAAAGCTTAACGAGATCTCAATACATCTGAATATTCATTTCTTAATTACTCTCATGGTAACCGTAGTTTCTGATTATTGTATATGAATCATTTCTCTTCTTCTCTTGTTCTTGACTGTTCTTTTGTGTGTTCTGCTTATAAGACTTGTATTGACAGAAGTGTTAAACAAAATAAGTTCAACAACAATAAAAAAAAAATGAGCGTCTATTTGTAGCTTTTCTCGTCGTTTACAGAGAGAGAGAGAGAGAAAAAAGAGAAGTATACTTCTTATTATAAAGTGCATAAACTATTTTTTCTTGGTAACGAGCGGACGGTAACATTTGGTTAATTTTCATCGGTATTACTAAATACATACATATACATAACTATGTCGGATGAACAATTGAACAATATGGGTCCAGTTATGGTTTGTTGATAGATAATTGAAATGTTTAAATGAATTATACTTATATCTTTTTTTTCTAGGATGCGACACCTGAAATTCAAGCACTAAGGTATATCATTTATCATACAATTACATATACTTATATCATCACTTTTTGTTTTTTAAACAGTGAACGTCCAGAAATAAGAGATGCTGCGATCGATGCTTTACATAAGAAACATCGTGAGAATCGTGTACATCACTTTACTGAAGCACACCGGGAAAAACATATAAATAATTGGCAGTGAGTTACTCTGCATTGTTTTTAATTCTATTTCTCGAAATCGACGTATAGAGTAACAAAATATGCTGAAGAACCGGTAGCTTATGGCGTCAATTATTTTATGAAAGTATCTATTGGTGATGATTTATTTATTCATATTCGTGTTCATCGGCAAGAACACCAGAATGTATATGATTTTTATTCATTACATGAAACATTTAAACATAATGAGGCAACATGCATCTTTACAGAAGGTATATGAAAAATTTAATTAGAAAGAAAGTTAAAAATTTCTTCTTTTTTTTTTAGCTGATCCATTAACATATTTCAATTACTAAAATTAGTCGATCCATCACCAAAATTATGAAATGACTATCGCTTCGCACACTATCTCGTATATTACTATTTCATTTAAATAAATATATCCATATTTTTACTATTAACAACAAATATTGTTTGTATAGTTACTCGGAGAAAAGCTGATTAGCGCAGCTTGTTTTAAGCTTAAATTTAGTAGTTCTCATATCTTTTTCTTAGCGAGAAGAAAACAAAGCAAAAGCATTAGTATCAGTTCATCATATATTTGATTAATAACAAGAATAAATTATTTCAATTGTCTTTTTTATTTATAATACTAATGTTGCATACACTAAACAATACTATATGAAATCAAACAGTTTATAAAGTCACGGATGAAAGTGACATTTTTAATTAATAGCGTACGAATTTTTGAATGCGATTGTTATTGGTATCAGCTACATATAAATTAAGTTGACTATCCAATGCTAAACCATATGGATTATACAGATGAGTAGCATTGGAACCTTGTGAGTTGGTGACACCGGCAATCGTTGAAGCAATCGATTGATTTGATGGATAGAATTGAATTCTATGATTAAATGTATCTGCAACATACATGTTTCCCATTGGATCAAGTGTCGTTCCAATAGGATAATGAAGAAGTGTAGACGTAGTACCAGCTAATGAATTTAAACTACCAGCAAGTAACGTCCACTTACTATCACCTATTGTCCATCGAACAATATTGTTCGCTAAATAATTATCAATGATTAGACTATTCGATAATGCGTCGAAATAAACAGTTGCAGGATAATATAATTGTGTATTATTTTTACCACCACCATTCCCACCAGCAACTACAGTTCCAAAAGTTGCATTTGACAGGTAGCTCATTATCCTGTGATTGTCATAATCTGATATATAAAGTGTATCTGAAATCGGGTCTCGTGAAATTCCACATGGTATTTGCAATGCATTGTTTGTAGTACCAGCAGTACCTAAAAAGATAAAGATTTATTATTTATTTGATTAACTATCTTCCTTGTTTACTCACCAGTGCCAGCGATTAATGTTCCTGAAATAGCATTTTTAGGCCAAAAAAGAACTCTTGAATTAGCGGCATCTACTATGTAGAGATTACTATTTGAATCAACGATAATACCAGCAGGTTGGGTCAACTGATTTAAACCTACACCCGGTGTACAATTTGTATTTCCGGCAACCGTTGATCCGTTCGATGCTCCTCTAAGCCAGGATTGAACCCTATTACATCCGTTATCGGTAATATAAAGTGTATTATCATAATCGATTGCTAAAGTAAATGGATTAGTTAAACGATCAGCAGCAGCACCAGGTAGTCCCGTAATTCCTGCAACCGTGGTGCCAACTGGATTCCAACGTAATACAGCGTTAGTAGCTATTTACATAAAAACAAGGAAATTTACTTAACTGTCTTTATTCGTATTATATCTTACGTTTAATTTTTGTTGTTTTTGACTTTGTTAGAATTATCGTAGGAACTATAATAACAGTTATTAACAATAACAAACCAATTATCAGTGACAAAAGTATACATAAAGGTGAACATCTATAAAAAAAGTCACAAGAAATATATATGGTTATACGTAAAACGATGAATTACTTTTTCTTTTTCTTTTCATTTGGATGACGGTGATGGTCTTTTGTGACATCAAAACGATTAGATGATGAATATAATGACTAAATTTATTCAACAAGTAATATAAGAACGAGAGAAAAAGTTTTAAAAGTGTGAGATTATTAAGAATCCCTCAAGTATGAATAGTCTTCAAAATCTATCCTAGAACTATCATGATTCAATAAACTTTCAATTTACTTTAGTGTCTATCAATTTTAAACTATTAACTGTTTTCGTTGAATGAGCATCAAATTGTGGTGTAACTCGATTTGAATGATCATATCTCCATTTGTTCTGACTTAACTAGGATAAAAAAGAGAAGGAAATAAAAAAATCATTTCTTACAAATTAAAAGTAATACTTGTGAAACAGATTCATAATCTTGTCGAAGACTAGTTAGACTCATAGAACGTCTTGGTTTTATTGATTGTTCAATAGAGTATTCAGTTCGAGACAATTTTTCAATTTGATGAGAAGTAAAAGCTGATACTGGATGTATACTGTTATGATATTTTAACGAGCTTTTATCTGTAAGAGGATCTTTATTTATTTGTCGAATGGATGTATGAATTATAGTGCTAGATTGAGATCCAATTGTACTTAACTCATGTTGCTAAATTAAATATCGGTAAAAATTTAGAAAAATTTGTCTAATAAATTTACTTTATTTTTCAAAGATCGATGACGACGTTGAAGTTTCTTAACTACTGGTCGATGTTGTCTATCGTTAATCATGATTTTACTTAGATTTAAAACAAAGTTTTGTTAATATTCTTCTAACATATATTCTTATATAGGAATGATTTTTTTTTGAATGAGATGCATCATTTATAACAACGAAAAAAAAAATAATTAAATTTCTTTTTAATAATGTTTGTTTGGAATGGGTTTCTGTGTTTTTTTATTTATTTATTATACAACGGAATAGAATGAAAAAGAAAGGACTGGATGAAGTTCGAATCAGTTCATTTTCTTTATTCAACACGAAATTATATATACGCACATGCAATTAAAATCTTTAATAATGCATGAAACTTAACTAAACTATTTAGATAAAATATATATAGATTATTGAATTTTATTTAATGAAATATTTTCTGTAAATATATATATATAGGACTTACTTTCAGAAATTTCTGTTGATATTCCAGTGCATATTCGATCAACTACGAATAAAAGCCATACAATAGATTGAATTATAGTGATAGAGTTTTACTGTACTTTGTTCGCTTGGAGGTCAACAGTATGATGATTAATAAAACTCCTTATGTCAGTATTGATTTGATCAACGATAATGAATAATAACGTGAAGAAAGGGTGTGGGTAAGGTATGTGACGGGTATAGTATACTGGTACCCACACTGGCACCTACACCCGCGTGATCTACAACTTTCAGAAGGGATATTCATTGGTAAATGTGGTGAGGTAATTTATTTTGCTGATTCATCTGGTGATACAGTTCAGAAACTTCAATAAAAACCATGTTTGGTTAAAGGAAGATCTGATACTTTTCGAACTGGTCTGTCTAATCCACAAGATATCATTATGGATCAATGTGGAAAACTTTACGTGATTGAAATAGATACTGCGATGATTGGGTTCAAGTGATCATAAATGGAGTAAACATAAGTTTTAAGGATCAAAATACTTCTTTAAAGAAATCAGTTAGTCTGGGGATAGATTTAAAAAATAATCTTTATGTGACGGATCGATTCAATCATCGAACTCTTAAGTTCCCTTTCGCATCTGGGGATCTTTTATTCAAAATTAAAGGTTTTTCTAAGACCAAAGATAGAATTTGTATGTTGATTTCTTCTTCGTTCCAAATTCAAATAGTCATCAACGCCCACACCCACACCCGCAAGTTTATCATAATTTATATCTATTGGAGGTGGAACTGTATCAATTGTTGCGTACCAGTTTATTTGTTTCTTTCTTTCTTTATTTCTATCACATTTCTTTTTATTCTGATTATCTCTTTCATGAATTACTTTGATCTTTTTTAAAGAACTTTTGCGATTACTATTTTACTTTTGTGTTTTATTATAACTATATGTACTCTTTCTTTTAGTCGTTTTTTTTGATGTTTTCGTTCTGTCATAGTATTTTTCTTTTCTCTATCGTTGAGGAGAAGAAGTCATGTGACATGATACATTTCTTGCCATAAATAATGTTGATTCTCTTTCATTTCCTCACGTACCACTGATATTATTGAGTATTTAAGGAGTGAATATTGTGAAGAGAAAAAGAGTAAAGAACAAAAAGAAGCGATAACAAACTCCTTGGTGATTTTGTGTCGAAAGTAAAATGTGCTTACTTTCAGTAATATTTTATATAATTATAATAGTTTCAAGTTGAAACTGTAATACTTTCTCCATTTTAATTTCTGATTTAGTGTATGAAAATAAAGATCTTTCACCTAGTTTCATAGTCAAATCTCTCATGCTCAAACCAGTTTTCAATAAAGTGATATAAATTTTTCATTTTATGATTTAATTCATGAGGTACATAGTAATTTACAAAACGTTTTGAAATTACAAGATGAACTTAAGAGGACAGAATGAGTTTTTTTCCTTCTTAAATTGATAAAAGTTTCCAACATACACCTTTAGATAAGAAATTGACTATATATTGATACTCATGTATATCAGACTTCAATGCATTGGATGTTTTATATAACATATTTCGTTTGTTATTGTTTTATTCTAGACAAAGATTTTTCTTTGAAAGATATTCTGTCTAAAGATATTCGTCGAAAGATTTTTCGACACAGTATCCTTAGATAAAATATCTTTCGACGAAAATTCATTCTATTAGCGGCGCCCTACCCTTTGATTCAAATATATCAGCACTGAAAACAACGTTTTCCGTTTTGATTAATAAAAATGCTTATGTATATTGAATTCGTAGTGGATTATTATAAATGTTTAATCTCACAGTATCTTACGTTGTTTTTGCTTGTTCGAAGGTGTGAGTGCAGGTGTGGGTATCGATATGACTGTGGCTAAAAGAAGAGTAAAAACGCCACACCCACAGTCACGCCTACAATCAAATCCACACTCGCACATACACCCACCCATAACCTCACCCATAGCGATTTTTACTTTGCACATGGTTTCTTTCACTTCGCATAATGGATGCATATTTTGCATTGTAAATTCTCCGACAAACAGTCTGTATCTTCAACCAATGATAAAAAACATGCCCGCAGTTTTGGTGGTTGTGCAATTTATAGACGGTAGAAAAGAAAGAAAAAGTAAAAAATATTGACAATTTTGTGTTTCTTATCGTGTATACTTTTGAAAAAAAGAACAAGACCGACAGACGAAGGTAAGTCGCTGTGCGTTTGGACTTTTGAGTTTTCAAAATTTCTCGCAAAACTTTCGGACGGCCACTGGATGCCATAAATAAATTACAGAATAATTTAGTTTCTATAAAAAAGGGTCTGGGTGTGGGTAAGTGAAGGTAATTACACCAACACCCACACCCACCCGCCTTACATATATATCTAATCAAATAATTCTTTTCTTTTAGATAATTATGGCGAGTGACACAGATAATAAATATTTAAAACGATGTTTACAAAAAATAATTGAAGCAGTTAATAAAACAATCGATGCATTAGCAGTTATAAACCCAGTTAATTCACAAACGTTACCTTTGGATACTGATAATAATACATTTAGTTTAAATGAACAAGAAATTAAATTAATAGATGATCTTAAAACAACTATTGAAAATCTGTTAAATGAAAACTTATCACGTTTATCTGGTATATGTCAAAAATATTTATTGAATTTTTTACATCAATATGAATATGATAGTCAAGAAAAAAAATTCAAAACTAATTTTAATCAAAGTATTCTCTCTGCATTTCAACGTGATCTTCAAAGTATGTTAAGTTCAATTGATGCTTTTCCAGCTGCATGGAATGGAGATCTAGATATTGTTAAAACATTCATTAAAAAATATCCAACTTTCAAAGATAAACCTGGACTTTGGGGAACAACATTATTATATTCTTCATCAAGAAATAATAAAATGAATGTTGTTCAATATCTTATTGAAACTGCTAAATGTTCTATAAATGCACAAAATGAACAAGATCTCGAAAAAGGTTTATTGACAACAACATCAACATCATCAAAACATATTAATGTTAATCCAACAGCGGCTTCGACTGCACTACATGGAGCGTGTTATAATGGGCATTTAAATGTTGTTAAATATTTAGTTGAACATGGAGCTGATTATTCAATTAAAAATCAAGCTGCAGAAACACCTATTATGAATGGAGAACGTCATAAACATATACAAGAATTTTTTCAAAATTTTCTTGTAGTAGGATATTCAAGAAGTTCAAAAAGTTTACCAAAAACAACAATTTTAGAAGAAAAAAAACAAGAAATTGTTGATTGTATTTGGGAATATAAACCATTTAAAGATGAAAAATGGTATCCATTTTCATCTAGTGAAGCAAGTGAACTACATCAATCATTAATAGTTAAACCTGATAAGAAATTTAAACATGAGGTTTTTCTTAGGCTACGTACAACTGTTTACAGTGTTTCAACAATTCAATTTTTACGCTCTGGAAAAGATAATAATCGTGAAAATAATTTAGCTTGGGTACGATGTCGTGGTTCATCTATTTTAAATTTTGATTGTTATGCTTTATGGCAAATAATGTTTACCAGACATACATCAGATAAATTAAAGTCATTTCCATCTTTGAAAATCTTAAATATTCCAACTATCTATGATAGTCATTTTTATATAAAATTAAATGCTTGGTATAATTGTCATGCTGATACAAATACTCAATTAGATGATGCAATTAATTATAGAAAAAAATCTATTGAGTTACGTTTAGATTTTATTAGTGATGATCAATTAATATTTAATCTTGAAACATTTACATTTTCTAATCAAGAAGGTTCATTTCAAGGTTTTATTCGGTGGATACCAAAACTAATATCAAATAATGAAAAATATAAAAATAAACTTAAAAGTCTTTATAATTTTTCCACATTAACTAATTTAGATCCAATACCTCTTACGACAGCACATCTTAAACAATTATCAGATAGAAAAAACCTGAATTCATCAAGTGAAAATAACAATGAAGATGATTATTCAACGCAAGATATTAACGAAGAAAACTATAATTTAGATCAGAACGACGATAAGGTATATTTCATTTATATATATGCGCTTTTTTCTTAGATAATTATTTTAGTTAAAAACCAAGAGAATTTGTTTTGTAAATGCGTGATAACAGCTGACTATAGAATACGAAAGAGGGCGGAGTGTGAGTGTGGATGATTAAGTTAACATCCACACCCACACTCACCCTTTTTTGGCCTTATAACTATGCGATTTGCGAGCAACTGTCCTCTGAGTAACTATCCACACGAGCAACCATCTTGAGGCTGTGGGTGGAGGTAGGGGGGTTGGTGAACGATGAGCACAGGGTGGTTTAAGCACAAATAAAATAAAAAAGTCTGATCTCCTATAACAGATCAATCTAGGGTGTGGGTGTGAGTGGGGTTTGTATGGATGTATGTGTTAATTACAAAAAATATAATACTTACAGTCACACCCACACCTACATCGACCCAAACTCATGCCCACACTTATCTCCACACCGATTCCTACACCCACATCCACACCCTAGATTGATCTTTTATAAGAGATCAGACTTTCTTATTTTATTTATGCTTAACTTTCCTGTGCTCATCGTTCCGATCCCCGAGGTAAGGATGGATGTAGGCAGCTGCTGTTATTCTTTATATCCTCACGTCAATGTACCTCACACTCACACTCCTCTATATAATCAAGTAGAAAATAAAATTAAAAAAAAACTTTGATTACGAACGTATGTTCATTTAGACAAATAAATCACGTGATAATGCTTTATGGTGTGTTAATGATTCTAAAGGCACTGTACTTGGTAAGAATAATATTTAAGAGAAAGAGAAATCATTATTATTAAGTTTAGATCCACAAGTAACCACAGATGATGATGTACAGAGTGTTAAAGACGAAAAAATTAATGACTATCTTCGACAAACTGATGATAAATCTCACTCATCATCCGACAAACAATTTACCGAACGAATAAATTCATCAACAAATGTTTCTGCAATATCAGAAGAAGAATTAAATAAATTTAAAAAAGAAAATGAACAAATTGCAGCTCGTCTTAAAGCTGCAAATGAAAAATCTTCTGAGCTAAAAAAATTACTTAAAGATAATCAAAATCAAAATCAAAATCAATTCAAAGAACTTTCTGAACAAATTGATAAATTAAATAAAGAACAAACAAATTTAAAGAGAAAAGAAGAAAATCTAAAGGAAATAGAACGTCACATTAAAATAATTGATTATGAACGAATAGAAAAACATGTTGTACACGAATTTTTTACACCAAAATTTGCTTTGATCTTGAATTGTTTAAAAAGAACAAAGAACAAATACGATTATTATACAGATAAAATACCACAAATGATATTTACAGAAAAAAACAATTTATTTAATATTACCATAATAGGTTTTCAAGATCATCATCAAACATTTAAAGATATTTTAAAACAAATATTAAATTTATCAAGTCTTACACAACGAGCCAAGGAATATTATCAACGACAGCTCAATCGATTTTTAAAATTAATAAACAATATATTAATTAAAATCCAATCCAAAACACAAAATTGGAAACAATATTCGAATTTTTTATTAGATTTATTAAAAGAAAAGATTAAAGAATATTCGATCTTGTTCAATGATTTTATTTCTGAACAAGCTCGTGAAATAAGTGAAAAATTTATTTTAAATAATGCTATATCATCATGGAATGAAATAACAAAACAAACCGAATTATTTATACAAAAAAATCCATTTGAAAATCAAATAGAATCTCTTAAACGTCAAGCATTGGAACAATTTATTACACAAAATATATCTTTTCAACGTTTAAAACTTGAAAAAAAACCAAGTCAGAAATCAATTGAAATTTTAAAAGATTTTATTAAAAAAATTCAAAATTCTTTTGAAAAAGAACAGAAATATATTGGATATCAACTGGAACAGTTTCGTTTAATCCCAGAATTATTAAAACGACTTATGACTTATTATTGTTGTTTTGCTACTCAATTACCTCTCTTTGAATCATCAAAAGATTTATTACGTCAAATTGAACAAAATACAGTGATTACCATTGCCACATCAACTGGATCAGGTTAGTTTACCTCTTTACTAATCACCCATGTGGGTTTGGGTGTGGGTGGGTGTATTACACTAACCTTACGAGAATGTATCCTATTTCGCATTGTTGAACATTTGAGGAATCAGTTCCGCATCGGAATCGATTCCGTTCAATTCCGGGAACTCGATCGATTTTCGAGTGGGTGTCGGATATTATGTATCGATCAAGTTCCCGGAATTGAACGGAATCGATTCCGGGAGGGAACTGGTTCCTAAAATGTTCAACATTGGGGAATAGGATGACTGCCGAACCTTACTCTGACACTCACACCCATACTCTTTACAGAGCTTGTCCAATATTAAGACTATTCTTCTTTTCTTTAGGAAAATCGACATTATTACCAGCTTTACTTGTTGCGGAAGGATATAGTAAAGTAATGGTAACTCAACCGCGTCGTTTACCTTGTAAATTAATTTCTCAACGTGTAAATGAAACTATGACAACTGATACAAATCCTAATTCAGATAAAATAGCTGGCTGGGCTATTAGTGGCGACGAAGATAATCCTCGTGCTGAAATTCTTTATTTAACTGATGGTTTACTTAAAGAACGTTTACTTTACAATGAAAATTTTATTCCAGCTAATAGTTCGATTGTTTTATTCATTGATGAAGTTCATGAACGTTCTGTTAATATTGATTTATGTTTAGCATTAATCGCGAGAATGCTATCTACAAAACAACAATCAATGAGTAAATTAAAAATTATTATTTCATCTGCTACACTTGATACATCAGTTCCAAATCTATTTAAAAAAATTCCACAAATTAAATTTTCAGAATTTACAATGCCTCTCATGGGTACTTTGTATCCTGTTACGAAATATCCTCGTCCAAATGAAAATATTTTAGATATTGTTCAAGAATTATATAAAAAACGACAAAGACATGATCAAATTTTATGTTTTGTTAATTCTGTATCAGAAGTTAATCAATGTGTTCGTTTATTAAGTGAAATAAGTCGTGGAACAATTATTGCTTATCCATTAGTACAATCTCAACAAGCACAACAACAAGAATTATTTCTTGAACATGGAAGTGTTTTCTTTTCAACAACTGTTGCTGAAACATCTTTAACATTTCCTTCATTAAAATATGTTATTGATACAGGAATGATTAATATTCCTGTTTATGATTTAGATTCTGAACGAACAATTCTAAAAGAAGTTCGAGCAGCTGAATCAACTATTAAACAACGTCTTGGACGTTTAGGTAGAACAAGACCTGGAGAATATTATGCACTATATGATTTTGATGTTAAACAAAAACAATTTCCAACAGCACAAATATGTCAATCGGATTTAGTTAATATTGAATTTACATTAACAAAATCACCATTAAAACAAGGATTAAATTATTTAAAACAATATTTACCCGATAAACCATCACAACAAGCTATTAATTTAACCATTCAAGAGTTAATTCAATTTAGTAAGTCACTTTCATAATACTTCAGCGATATTTAAACTCATATAAGAAGAGAATTATTTATAGATGCGATGTTGACCAATCTTCTAGTCCATTCTTATAGAGCCTTCTTTTTTAAATCTGTTCGATCATAATTATACAAGTAACGCTCGTTCGAGGACTCGCTTAGCTCCTTCTCGTAGAAATGCATCCTCTTCACATTTACTGGAAAAACAATTGAAAACCGTGAAAAATCGGTATTCGATGTTTTATTGACCTCTCACCCCCATAACATGGTCACCCAACAGACCTCAGATTCGAACTCCCCGCATCGAAAAACTTAAAGAAATGTCATTTCCGGAAAATTGATTTTGGATGTTTTTTTGACCCTGTGGACAAACAATCAAGCAATCAGACAATTTATGTTTACTAGACTCTTCTTTACGAGAAAGAGAATAAGGTTGAAAAAAACATGTACGGGTTCGTCAGTAGTTTCGCCACCCAAATTAATTCGCTTAAGTATCATTAATGCTATGTAAGGGAAATAACTTTTTAAGTGAATAGGAAAAAGCAAAGTTTTATTTTTATAATAATAATTTTTTCAATACGAATATATTAAAATATTTCAGAGGTATTGGGGACAGATGCGAACAATCAGTTAACAAATTATGGTAAAGCTCTTGCTAAATTACCTGATTTTGGTTCTGTGCCAATGTCGAAATGTGTCTATGCTGCTCTTGAAGAGTATCGTTGTGGACGTGATTTAATTTGTATTTCATCAATGTTAAGTGTTTTAAATACAACTATTATATTTAAATCTGTACCACAAAATTTCAAAAGTCCAGATGGAGATTTTATGACACTGTTAAATATAATGAATGAAATTTTATTACTTAGAGAATCAGTATCACCACAACAATTTAATATAAAACGTGTTTGTCAAGCTAAAGGTTTAACTAATATCGAACATCTTATTCGACAAGCATTAAAACGTTATGAGAATTTAGAAAAAATATTTAATCGTTCAAATGAATATTGTGAAAAAGCTCAAATTAAATGTGGTAAATGGGAATTTATTGCTAAAGCATTATTAGCTGGATATTCCGATAATGTTTTTATTTCAATGAAAGATTTACAAGATAAAATTCATCAATTTATGCGATATAATGATAGAAAAGATTTAGCAGTTTTAGATTTACAATCAACATTAACTCGACCAATAAGTCAAGCACCTGTTTCACTTATTTTTGCACGAGATGTACGTTATTTAAGTGCTATTCGTTCTACAGCTGTTCTTTCATTTGTTGGAGAAATTAAATCTGAATGGTTAAATTTTAATATTCAAAGACAAATTGATTTAAATAATGAAGAAGAAACTTATTTAAATACAAATAATAAATACTCAACTGCTGTATCGAAATTTTCAAATAAAATAAATATGCAATTAAATAATGGTATGGTTTCTTTAAAAGGTCCAGCTAGTGTTGTTTTAAATGCTGAATTACATCTTCGACAAGAAATGATTACAGAATTTACATTTAATTTAGAAAATAAGAATCCACCTAATTCGGCTAAATATGCTAATTTAGCTCGAAATCTTGAAGGTGTAATGAAAATGATACGAATATTTAACCCTATGAAATGGAGATGGGAAGCTCAAAAACAAGTTAAAATAACTGTTAATAGTGATACAGCAACAAAGACATGTAGAATAACAATTAAAGGAAGAGATTCAGATATAAAAATAGTTAAAGAAGAATTTGATTCATTTTTGAGATGGTTACAAGATTGTGCTGTCATTAGACATCCAAATGCAGGTAAAGTTATTTTTAGTTTTATCTTCTAATGAGAATCGTATTTTGAGTGCTACTAGGTCTTATTGAGGCCATCAAGCATTTAATGTAATCTATTTCTATTTAGGTGTTCCTCCACGTATTCTTGGTCCACAAATGCGTAAAGATTGTCGTGATATTGAAGAGAGAATTTGTCATATAACTGATAGTAAACGAACATTAGTCGATTTATATAATGGTGTTAAAGGTTCAAAAGCAACACGTGAAACACGAATGGAAGTTGTTGCTTGGATTGCTGTTTGTAAATTTGATTGTCGATTAGAAGGTGGTTTTGTTCGTGATTGGGTTGTTGGAAATCATGAATCAAAACCAAATAAAAATCCAACAAGTTGGCTTGAATATACTACAAACAAGAAAGGTCAACAAATACCTGCTATTGTTAAACAAGTTGTTCCAGCTGATTTAGATTGTCATTTACCTACACATGCATATTTTGATGTTGAGAAATTTCAAGATGAGCTTTACAAATTTGATATCAAATGTGACGTTGTTAGAGAAAATTGGAGATATATTATATTAGTTGATAAAGATACTCCAACAGGACCATTTACTATGGATTTAATTGAACCACATGTTGCATTAACACATGATAGAATTGATTTTGATGTTAATAATTTATCATTAGAAAAAGATTTTACACGTGATTTAGCTATGCGTGTTAACATTCAACAAAAACCTTATTCAATTGAACTCGAACAAATTGTTGATAATATTAAAAATAAACGTTTTCAAGTACTGCGGCCAATAGAGCCTCAAGTACAAGATCGAATTATTAAAATGACTACTATTCGTGGTTGGACACAATTAGGACAACCATTCAATGTTATACCTGAACCACCTCCAAAATATTATTCACTTCTAATACCATTACCACCACCAACCACTTTATATCAAGGTGTAGCACAAGAAATGAGACAAATATCAGGTTCATTACAGATTGTATCAATTGAACAAGTTAAAAATCCATATTTAGAAGAAGCATATGAAGCTATGAAAAAAATCATTTCAAAACAATGTACAGGATTTAATCCAAACGAACGTTTTCTCTATCATGGAACTAAGTATGAAGGAATTAACGGAATAGCAGAAGATGGTTTTGATGATCGATTTTTCGTTCGTGAGGGTTATTGGGGTAAGTAATATATGGCTCTGTAGAAACAGTAATCAGTCAAGAAATCGAAGAATAAAATCAGTATAAATCTAATGATAGTTTGTGCAAAATGAGTTTGCTTTCTAAACAAATTAATTTATGAATCTCATTTAGTTTAGAAGATAAAATAACATCTGATTCGCTCCTTCTGTCATTATAAACACATATAATTCAATAGTATGTTTTTTATTATGTAGGTCATGGTGGTTATTTTGCGGATGACCCTAAAAAATCTCATGATTATACAGTGTCTAATGCAACAGATCAAACTCGTGTTATGTTTTACAATAAAGTACTTTTAGGTAGTGAATCAATACAAAATGTAGTTGATCAAACGTTGATTTCAGCCCCAAAAGGATTTCATTCAGTCCGAGGCACAGCCTTCCCGTATACTGAATATATTATTTATCGTTATGGTCAAGCTTTACCTTATTTAAAGATAACTTATAAAGCTTGATTTACCTGAAATTCAATATTATTTTATATTCTAGAGTTATTTTTTTATATTTTTATTTTTAATCGAAAATTGTTTTGTAATTCAATAAAATACATGTGTCTTTATAAATGAAGAGAGTTGGGATATAGGTGTGACTTAAGAGGAGAGACACCCACACTCCATCCTCCAAATTTCATTTACTAAATTGTTTCAAATTTTTGAAGTCGATGATTAAAATGATCAGCAACATAAAGGTTTCCTTCATTATCAAAAGATAAACCACAGGGACGATTTAATTGATTTGATTGATTTCCTTCACCACTTCCACCAACAACAATTTCACCTTCTTTTTCTCCTTCACGCCAACGCATAACTCGATGATTGTGAGAATCTGCTACATAGGTTTGACCCAAATCATCAACAATTACTCCTTGAGGATAAGACAATTGATTGAGATTTCTTCCTTGACCATTTCCTCCAGCCACAACTTTTCCTTCTTTTGCATCTTTTCTCCATTTCATAACACGGTGATTGTTCACATCTGATACATAAACAGATTGATCCTCATCAACAAAGATAAAAGTAGGAGCATGGAGTTGATTGAGTTGATTTCCTTGACCATTTCCACCTGCTACTATAATTCCTTCGTTGTTGTATTCTCCCATTTTCCATCGTCTCACTTCGTTCTTCCAAAAATCACAAACATAAAGAAATCCATTTTTATCCATTGCCAAGCCCCAGCAGCCAATATTACGAATGAGAATTTGTTGATTTTGATTTAACCAATGAATCACTCGTTTGTTCCCTTGATCAGCAATGATGATGGAATGATTTTGTTGATTAACAATCACATCTATTGGTCGATTCAATTGGTCCATCCGATTTCCTCTGCCATCTGCACCTGCAACGATTTGTCCTTCTTTTGTATTATATTGCCTTTCAATAATACGATGATTGCAATCATCAGCAATGAAAATATTTTTGTTTTTATCAATAAAAATTCCTCCAGGACAATTGAGTTGATTTAATTCCTTTCCTTCTCCATTTTCGCCAGCCACAGTGATGGCATTTTGTTTCCATTTGTTGAATATTGGTTCTAGAAAATGATGAAATCAAAAGATCTTGATGAAAAGAAGAAGAAGAAAAAGATTTTGTTCATTTATTTTTCCTTAAATAAAAATTTGAAAATGATTCAGTTTTGTTTTTATCTTCTTCGTTATCACTTTTCTTTATTTTTATAGTTTTTTAAAATAAATTCATATAAAATGAGAATTATCCTTCTAGAAATTATTTCTTAAAAACTTACTTTTTGGAAAAGTAATTGAAATATCATTAATAAATGATTGTGAACTTTGTTGAATAGAAATATTTGATGGATTATTTAATTCTTCTGTAATTTTCCTTAGTTGATTTCTTAAATAATTTAAATTTATTTCATTAAATTCGTTTTCTTTTTCAAATTGTTTTATTTTTTGATTTAAATCATTAAATTTTATCTCAATATCATTAATACATGTTTTTGATGATTTAATGAAGATTTCTCTGCACTCTTGTGCTTTTTGTTGAATTTTTTGAATTGAATTTATTTCCCATTGATTAATTTGTTTGATTAATGAATGATTTTGTGGATTTTGTTTTTGTTCATTAATTGTTTGTTTAAATTCATTATATTCATTGGTGATATAATGTAATTCTTCATTTAATATTTGTTTATGTTTTGCTAAATCCATAAAACAAAATTCTTTTGAACATCCTTTACAAGGATACGTTATTTTTTGTTCATTACATATAAAACATACAGTTTTATTATTTGCCATTGCCATGTCGTTGAATATAAATTTATAGAAGAAATCTAAAAAGAATTTTTTTTATGAGGGTGTGGGTATTAGTGAGTTCTTATTGCTTCACACTCACACTCATGAATGCTTATTAGAATTGACTAAATCTTACTGAGATCTACTTAGAACAGAGAGATGAATTCGAAAGCTCAGAATCAGTTGTATTAGTACTCATAGTTTGTCCTTCTATTTCTGGATAATCTAATCTATGATGGTTAGTTGAATTTGTCATTGCTGATAGATTCATAATAGATTTAAACACCAGTCATATCTTATAAATAAGAAATAAAAAAAATGATACTCTCCTGATAATACTCTTCTATTCGATGCCTTTGAAAATATATCATATCGTCACCGAAGAAAACGTTGAATAAATACGGACTAATCACACACAAATATGAATACAAGAAAAAAACGAATATAAACATGATATTTTTTCTCGTCCTTTTTTTCCTCTGGAAAATAACCGTCACAAGCGATTTTTTTTATTCGGTCATTATTTGTGTAATGTAAAGTGTATTTATATGATGACTTGATGATGTATCTATTTTCTTTCTATTCTCGACAAAATTTCAACATAGAAAGGTAAAGGAAGAAAAAGAATATACCAACATTGACGCATTATTTTTTGTTTCATTCATATATGCTTGCGTTTTCGAAACACATGTTCGTATTACGACAAAAAAAATAGTTAGTTAGTTTGAAATATTTCACATGAGAATGAGTTAAAAGACAAGATCGAAGAAAAAAACTAACAAAAAATTAAGTCACATGACAGAAAAGAAATAGAAAGTGACTGATAACGTTATCTTATCCATTAAAATTCTATTAGATATCTTCTTGATTTTTTTAGTTCTTAGAACTCTTTGATCAATCATCAATCACTTGAAACATTCGTGAGGGTGTGGGTGTAGCTATGGCTCGGGTGGGTGAATGTCGGTGTAGATGAGTGAGAGATGATTCAATACCCCACACCCACACTCACACCCTGAACTAGTAAAGTTATCCATAGGTGGATTTGAATGAATCAATAATTATGTTGTATCAGTGTCATCAAACATCAAAGTACTTTTGGAAGAAGACACAGGGTGGCCCGACTGAGGAGGTGTCAGGGGTGTAACGGTTCCCCCCAATCTTCGAAGGTTTCTATTTTTTGCTCAACAAAATCGACAAATTTTCTCAGATTTTTTCACCCAAAATAATGCTACACTAACCAAAAATTCAAAAAATTTCGTTACACCCCCCCGATGTTGGCTGCTTCGCGCACCTCTGCAAATAACAATTGTAATGAACAGCATCATCTTTGTTCCAATACTTTTGCTCTACCTCACTCTTCTTAAACGTGATATTCGTGTAACTAATATGCGTTAACGCTAATGCTAAGTCAGCACTTTCAGTTTATTCCAAAATATAAATTCATTTACTATAATTAATAAATAATCTTAATGACGATGGGTAGGTGTAGACAGTTATTATTATTCTTTACATCTTCATATTCACACCCATAAGGTTGACTACTGAACAAATAATAATTGAGCATGCATGATGGTAAATATCCTTTATATACTAAAGCAAAGTTGTGAATATTAATTATTTTCTTCATGTGTTGTATAAATTCGCCAGCCATTTCTTCCAATTGAACATTGAATTCTATTAAAACATGGATGCATACTTCGAATAGTATCGATGTCAATATTTTGATTTTGTTGTTCTTTTGATTCTCTAATATTACAATCGAATCGACAAAGGTGGGGTAATCTATTGCAAAGCATATGAACAAGCTGACAAAATGATATATCAAATAGAACTAAATTGAGTTTTTCAATATTTGATAAGAAGTTAAGAAGAACATCAATTCTATCAAGTGTTAAATAACCCGGATTATCAAAGAGAGTCAAATGTTTAAGAGGATGTTTTTGAACATATTGATCAGAAGATGGAGGAAGATTAATTATATTGCTATTTGATACAAGTTTGATTCTAAATTGATGAAGATTAGGGCATGAAGTAGGAATAAGGGAAAGAAGAATTGGATCACTACTGATGACGCATACTGAACGAAGATTAGGTGATTGAGACCATGAACGTCCATAAGGAAAATCAGTTCCATCTAGGTTAGCATAACGAAGAGAAGGAAACCAATTGGAGAATATTTGGTATGCAAGATAACTTGATGCATCAAATCCTGATGACAAAATAGAAAGATACGTCAGATTAGGTAATTTACTCCGTGCAATTTCATTTGACTGTGAGAAAGTTATTCGGCCTAATATCAATGAACGTAAATTTGAAAATAATTTCCAGTTAATATTATGTATAATATCAACTTCTAATCGAATAATTCGATCAGCAACTGCTTTAGTCAATGATACATCATATTTATTGTTAATTTTAACAGATAATTTGTTCAATAATAGAAGGAGATTATCAAGTCGTTGATTCAATCCCCAGAAACTTTTATATGAATCTTGAATACAGACATAATTGAATATATCGATTAATAGCTCATTAGCAAGATATTCAAATTGAGTAGACATGTCTAAAAAATATTTACAAAATATTTGACTATGTAGATATGCTTACTTTATGAGGAAAAAAGATGTAATAAAATGATGTTTTATATTTTGTTGTTCTTTTACGTTTAACGATAACGTTAAAGTCTTATCAATAGGCATACATACATTTATTGCATCATTACATAAAATCTATAATCTAGCCAATAAGAATAAAGCTTTACATTTAATCCTGACGACATCGTTTGTATTATAATCAATGGTTGATTATTGAGATAAAAATGAATTCATTTCAGGGTAAAACTAGATAAATGTGACATATTTTCGTAGATTTAATTGTATTATTTATGTACATATTTTGCTACAGTACTAAAAGCTCCTTACTATATATACGATAGAAATTAAATCACAAAACTCTTCATAATACACAATAAAGCAGTGTTTTTCTTTGATATTACATCGCTCTATAAGACAAGTATCCATTTTGTATGTTGTTTAGTCTATAGTTCTACGAAGATGTGAGTATGAGTAAAGGTACGGCATATATACACTATCCACGCTCTTACTAGGTATTTGTTTAAGAAAAAGAAAAATAATAACTAATTAATATCAATGATTTTCTTTGAGGAAAAAAGGTTAAATTCGAGGGTATGAGTGTAGGTGCCTGTTCCTATCGTATCCTGGCTTACGCTTACCCTCAAAAATTTATCTTCGTTTCTATTCACATATTATACATTTAAAGAATGAATGTATTATCGGTGAAAATTCTCAGTTTTATTTTATTTAATAGGTAAAATTTTTTGAAAACAAAGCTCATCTGTTGTCTCGGGATCCAATGTGGACCACATATATTCCACGACAAAGTTGTCTATTACGCCGATTTTTTCATTTTGTGGAAGTATCGCTTGATAATGCTGATGAATTGATTTCAATTGTCTTTGATCATCATCGCTTATTTCAAAATGTGTGGAAGAGATATCAACAAATTGTCGGAGTTTGTTCATTGACATGAAACCTTGAGATACATCATGAGGATCAATACGTGGATCAATGGAACCTAAGGATTTGCTCGTCGATGGACAAACAAAAGTAATGCCAGATGTATCACGAATGATCCATTCTTTTGGAATATTGGGAAGACTATTGATCAGTTGAGCAATACGAAAACCACGGCATATAATTGTCTGCCAGTAAAAACCCATTTTCTCAAAATGATTGAACAATCAATTTATGTCCTTGTTATCGACTGTGAAAAGTATGATCTTTGCTTATTCTGCGTAGTATTTGTGGTATGATAAAATAACAGTATTTATTCATTTTTCTGCCTTATAAGAAGAAAAATGAAAACATATTGCACAACAGCATATTTGAATGACATCAGAAAAAACCATAATCACATCATTTTCTTACCATGCAATTGTGCAAGGTCTCGATTTTTTTATAAAAAGTGTGATTCATCGTCCTTTTCATAAATCAAAAAGATTGTAAATAGAAGCATTGCTGAAGACGAGATGATGTACGTTGATATAGGTGCGACTATGGCTAGAGTGAGTGAGTGAGTGATGATTGCAATACCCACACCCTCACAAATAAATGAAAGATAAATAATAATGAAAAAACAATTTATTAATAACTAATATTCTCAATTTCTTTTTATGTACTTTTTAAATGTATCCCCACGCAAGATTAAACTAAATCATAATTTAATATTCAGTCATAAATATTTTCATAATAATATAAATTGAAAGAATCAATAAAGTGCCAAGAGCGATCCAAGACAATGATCCAAGTATCTTTCCCAATAAAATTTTACGATTGAATTCTTTAGTATCATTAATATTAGGAAAAGGAATATCTTGAGGAATATCAACTTCCAAAAATTTACAAAGTGGTAACCATCCTTCTTTAACATTAAATATCAATACATCACCTTCTTTATTTTCATCAATTACTCGTTTATTATGTTGACCATGCATTGATGGTTTAATTCCATCATAATATCTAGTCCATCTTTTCCAACATTTCCAACCCATTCTACTTTGTAAACGTAAAAATCGTAAAGGATAAACAGCAAAATAATAAAAATTATCTGTAGCTACTGAACCAATTGTATTTTGTAAGCTTTCAAACCATTTTTCATCGCTATCTCGTACACTAAGAATAATTTTTGCTTGTGGATAAGCTTGATGAATTTCTCTATAAAAGTCACATGTTGGAGCATCGACAGTTGACCCATAACCTTCCATTAATTTATAAAAATCAACATTTTCTCCATCATATGCTGGAATAAATTCTAATGTACGATTAGGTTTTTTAAATAGATCAACCATATGATGACAAGGACCAAATCCAAGTATTTCAAGGGCAGCTTTCAGAGATGTTGTACCTGTACGTGGTAAACCAGCTCCAATAACACGTAATTTAACAACATCTTTTTCAGTATTTTTTTCTGCCCATGGTTTTCTCGATGTTATGGTTGTCATTTATAGACAATAGTTCTAAAATACGAACATCGTAAAAAAAATGTCAGTGACAACAGTAATAGTGTGCGCATTTGTTTCTTCAAGGTAAAAATATTTACTTATAACTACACGTGTCATATTAATAACATTCTTTTTCTTTCGTCTAGTGCAGGAAAGAAAAAACTTTTTTTTTTATTAAACGATATATAATGTAGAAAATAAATCAAAGTAAATATTTTATTAAGTCTAGAATAAGTTTAAATTTATCAAATCTCATAATTCAATTCGTTGATATTTTATTTTGTGCCTGTTGTTCTAATTCTCTTATTGTCATACATCTATAGATGTCATTTATCCAGTTCTATCAATGTGATCACTGTATGGCTACAATACGCAAATATCGAGTTTAACATTAATCGATTGAGTGTGAGTCTCTCTGTGTATGAATATTAAAGACATCACACACCTGTATCTAAGCAAATATACTTTAAAAAAATTCTTTTTATTAAAACATGCAGTAAATATCAAGTTGACTGCTTGCATAAGAGTACCCGTAAACTGAGAATGATTCATTACTAATCGATTTTTTTTATTTTTCATTTGCTCACTCTTCTTTCTCTTTTCAACTTAAGTGGTCCTGACGTTTTCTTTTATTAAATGCTGCGAAACACTGTGCATGATTTTGTATGCTTTTAAAATTAGTATTGAAAAAAGCAATTAGTATCCATGAAGCTATACACAAACAGCATTGCTAGTTACTTGCACTTTTAAGTGGACATTAAAAACAGTATAAAAAGAGTGAGAGAATGGTGCATTAGTATTCATATTCATTTTTCTCATCATGTTTATTCATCTGCCATTTGTTACTTTCGTCAGTATTTTGTTATGGACTGAAACAGGTATGTAAGAAAGTGAAAATTTGACTAATTTTATTTGAATTAAATATGTAATTTAAAGCTCTTCGATAATAGCATATATGTTTTTTTATAGTGGGAAGTATATCGTATTATGTAACGAAATCCGGCAAAGATAGTAATGCTGGAACCAGTGCAGCGACCGCTTGGCTCACGATACAAAAGGCAGCCAATTCAGCAACAGCTGGTTCAACCGTTTACGTTGGTCCCGGAATTTACTATGAAACAGTAACAATTAATGTACAAGGCAATAGTAAAGATGGTTATATTACATTCACTGGCTCTGTATTGAACAATCTACCAGTTATTTCAGGCAAACAAGCCAAGACCGTATCGGCTGATGGTACATTAAATCTAATCTATATTCAACAGAAAAGCTATGTACGTATAATGAATTTTGAATTAATGAATTTGACATCATCCGACTGCGCTGGAGCGAGAGTTGTTGGTGGAGGGACAAATATTGGTATGTATTTCTAAATATTTCGATACTATTAATGGAGATCGATAATATATTCTTTATTTTAAGAACTTCGTAATTTACTTATCCATGATATTCGTGGTGGGGGAGAGTCAGGTGGAGCTATAGCTATATCTGCCTACAATAAAGACAAGACAACAAGCCTTAGTCAATTAATCGTTGATAATTGCACATTACATGATTGTGAACCAGCCTGGAGTGAAGCTTTAACATTCAGTGGCAACATTAAAAACCTTCAAGTCACTAATAATCGCATATACAATATGAATAATATTGGAATTGACTTTGCCGGTATGTATTTGAATACTTTTTTGTTTTGTCAAAGTTTCATGACAAATTAATATATTTTCATTGTTACTGAATAGGTGGATGGAGTTGGGTGAATGGACTAAGCGTTACGTCAGGTCTATGTGCTAACAATACTGTTTGGAATATTCATTCACCTGTTGATTCTAGCGCAGCAGCTATCTATGTCGATGGAGCATCAAATATTACTATAGAATTCAATGAAGTGTATAATTCCGATGTGGGAATAGAAGTTGGAGCGGAAGTCAAGGGTCATATAGCTTCAAACATGACAGTACGACAAAATTATATTCATAATAATACTTATCAGGGAATTGGCTTTGGAGGGTATGATGCTCAGTAAGTCATTTATTAATGTTATTACAAGATAAATAAAAATAATACTTTATAGACGTGGTACTGTCATTAATAGTTTATTTGAAAATAATCGTTTGGAAAAAAACAGTGCTGCACTTCAGTATGATGGAGAAATTGTTGTTGCATATGGTTCTGGTAATACGGTTCGCGGTAATACTGTAAAACCAAATAAACAAAATGTAGTTCTTAGCGTAGATCAGAAAGGAGGTTTGAATAATATATTCGACTACGACATATATTACCCATATGGAACAGGTGCAACACAAAGCCAACTTATTTTTAATTGGGGAAATACAGAGTGTGATGGATTAAGTGCATTTCAGAAGAAGAGCAAACAAGAAACGCATGCACAAGTCGTCAACTCCGGTTAACTTGCTGTTCGAACAAATTTTTTTTCTATATGAACTCTTTCCTTTTGATTTAATCAATTGTAGTTTTTCCCGTATACTAACAAATTTTGATGTTCAATAATAAAATCCCGTTATGCATACTTATATTCTCTATCGAATGTATTGATTTTTTTTGCTAGTTAGATGTGTCTTTGAGAATAAATACGAAAGCAGGTGTATTAATGTTTGTATGCATTGCAAGCGAGTATATATATATGTAAGTAACTGATAAGATGTAGGACACGTTTGTTGGCTTATTTTATTCTTTGTTTTAAACAACGTGCATCACAAATAGCAATAAAAATGTGAGCGTTAGATATCAGTGCAAATAATGTAGCGCATAAAGAGATAAATTTAACTGATGTATACGTGTTCTGTTTTCATACTTTACATTCATTATCAACAAACTATTTAGTAGATATGGAGCCTGTCATAGTAAGTTGCTAACATTATTACTAGTTTTATATAATAGAAAACCAACAGTTATTACCTAGTGAACAACATCTTGTTTCGACTTGGTATGGCTCCGACTTGATGCATCGCACAGAAGAATGGATTCTGCAATTATCTTCCATAGATATAGCTGAGTTAGAAGCAGCAACTGAATCATATATTACTTCCAAACATAATATTGCTTTTACTACGGCAGAAAATTTTCCTTTACCAACGTTGGGTTGCAAACTTTTAGCCCTTCGTAAAGAACTAATTAATGGTCGTGGATTTTTTTTGTTACGAGGACTACCAGTACATAAATATAGTGAACGTCAAGCAGGCACTATGTTTTATGCACTGGGTTGTCATCTTGGACTTACACGATCACAAAATGCCATGGGTCATTTTCTTGGTCATGTTCGCGACTTAGGTATGAAAAGCAATGATCCAAAAGTTCGTCTTTATCAAACAAATGAACGGCAAACTTTTCATACAGATTCGTCGGATGTGGTCGGCCTTTTATGCTTAAATACGGCAAAGACTGGTGGAACATCTTTGTTAGTGAGTGCTTCGACAATTTTCAATGAAATGCGTGCACAACGACCTGATCTACTTGAACTTCTATTACAACCCATAGCAACTGATCGCAGAGGCGAAGTTCCAGAAGGCATGTTGCCGTATTTATTGATTCCTGTCTTCAGTTTTTACGAAGGTTATCTAACTGTTTTTTATCAACGTCAATACATCGATTCTGCACAACGATTTGAGGATGCACCTCGTCTAACATCAAAACATATAGAAGCACTCGATATGTTTGATCGGCTTGCCAATGATCCAAAACTTACTCTGTCGATGAATCTTGAGCCTGGAGATATGCAATTTGTATACAATCATGCTCTTCTACATGATCGTACAGGTTTCGATGATTGGGATGATCCAGCACAAAAACGTCATCTTCTACGTCTATGGCTTTCAATACCAGGCGATCGACCATTGCCGGATATATTTTCAACGCGTTTTGGTACGACTGAAATTGGTAATCGTGGAGGAATCTTTGTTAGTGGTACAACGCCGACTATTCCATGGACAAATGAATAATATATACCATAATTCGATTTAATTAGAAGTTTTTGATTTTCTATCACTCATGACGTTTTAAATATATGAACTGTCCCAAAAAGTTTTCTACATATCTTTACTTTCTGATTTAACTTCAAATTTTATTAGTACTCATCTAAGATGTAATCTGTCAGTAACATAGAAAAAGAAAGACTCCTGTTTTCAGAAAAATAATTGGTATGACAAATCCAATAGCAATGCTTTGTATTTCAGTTCTCATCTACTTAAATATATCGCATCGAAAAAATCAGAATATACTACCCGGTGCAGTGTGAAGAGCTCCACAATTCCCAATGAACAATTATTAGCATGTCAATAAGGTTGGTTCATACTACATAAACTATCTCGTATTGGCATTACTACAACACTAAATAACGTTCAAAACACGTTGTCTAATTGAAATCATTACCATCCAAAAATATTGCGAATCTGTCATTATTCGTGAATTCTTTACTGATTCATTTTATAAGAAATGTCTTCATAAGAACGATGAAGGTCCAGTTGGCAGCCCTAAGCAGATGTATTTTATAGAATTATTCCATCAATGAATTAACTCAGAGAGTATATAGAAAACAGATATTTTATTTTTATTTTTCTAATAAAATTCTTTACTACCATGCCCTCAATACAAATATCACTAAATTATTATTTAAATTCACAGAAAAAAAACAATTCGAATTAGTCTGTCATGTATCTATTTCGAGACACAAAAATTTTATTACTCTATATGTAAATATCATGTTTTTCCATACAAAATTCTAATATTCAATCATAAAAAGTAGCTGATATTATACCCATAACTTATTGATGAAAGCTACGATTTCTTTATGAAGAATAAAAATAAATTTATGAATTTATTTGGATATCAAATGAAATAATCGAGACACTACAATTAGGTATTTATTTTATAATTCGAGTCAGTTTGGATTAAGCATTCTTATATCAATTAATATAAACTTCCAAAGAATGACAGTTCAAATAGCCAGACTTGATTGATAGTGAATCGTTCGAAATTGATCATGAGTTCTTTAGCTACTAACGGTTTGATTGTATTATTGAATTGACTTGGTGCAAAAGTGAGATAACTTTGATTTGTAATCAATGGATACGCGAATGATTGAACCAAATATGTCGCTTCTTTATCTAAGTAGACATCAATTGCTTTTGGATCATGTGTCCCATCACCGAATACTGTTAATTGTAAAGAATGTAGTAAATATGTATCATTGAATGTGATAAGCATATAATCTGATACATTGTAACTATTTGAATTCCAAAAGGTGTAAATATTATTATCGAAAGCACAAAACCATTCACCACCAGTAACGTTGAGTTGGATCCCAAGTTGTGAGAAGTTACCAGGTAGAGTTCCATTAATAACACTCATTTTCACAATCGACATCGCTAAATACAAAAAAAAACAATTAAAATAAAGCCATTATTATTTCTATTTACTTTTCTAATCATAGCTCATCTAATATAAGAATACTTATATGAAGTTATCCAGAATTAACTAATGCACAATCATCAAAATCTATTTCTATATGATGTTTAAATCATGTAAAAAAATATTCTGTCAGTGGAAATTAACTATTTTGGAAGATAAACATACATATACAGGTCATGTTGATTCTTGAACATACTAGATTGAGATCATTGCGACACTGGTCACTTGTATTGCAAGGTGCTCCAGCTAATAATTGTGGTGCACAGGTTTTATTACTCCAATAAGTCGTCACTGGACATTGACATTTACCATAATGACAAGTAAGATTCATATCTTGACGACACCAATTATCATACTGACATGCTAATGTTGAATCGACAAACAATTGATTGACACATTTACTTTTACCATCAAAAAAAGTGTTCATAGGGCATTGACATATATTATTTCTGCATACAAGATATCGATCTGGATAGCAATGATTACAAGATTGATTGTAAGTTAATGCTAGATTAATGTTGTCATAAATTAGTTCGCCAACGATACGACTAGTAGAAAATGAATTAACGATCAAACCAGTATTCGAAGAGCCTTCATAAAGTTGACAAATAGATAAATCAAAGACAAATGTACGACATTGGGGATCTTGATGGCATAATAGAAGACAACGATAAGTAGAAGCAACTGGTGAATAAATACCACGTAATTCAATTGGATTAGCTGGAATAAAATCAGTACCACTTCCATACAGGTGAGTTAATGATGTATCATTGGCATATAAGATATGAATATTTATTAGAAATAGAATATAATTTGTATACATTATTACGGTCTTCTTTAGCTGATGATATGAGTCTAATGTGAATGAAAAAAAAATGTTTATCTCAACTATATACTAACAATGTTATCAAAATGAAGTCTCTATGGAGACAGAGAAGTTTTTTTTTTCTAAATGCATTTAATCATTGAAGGAAACATGACTGGTAGACAAAATTAAACAACATTATAGAATCTATTTCACTCAAGTATTTAAAAACAATTTTTATTTTTATTTTTAGCTCAAATTAAAAAGGCTATTATCATCATTTAATATGAGAAAGAAGACATGATAAAAACAAGTTTTAAAAGTGCTTTCCTCGATATAAATGTTTGTTAGACTTGTTATCATGCACTATAAGTGCGTAATATTATTTCATAAATTATTATTTATCATCACATACATTTTTTACTTTCCAGAATTAGAAAACATAAGGATAATCTTGAAAGTTTAGTTGATATAAAAAAAACCTGAGTGAATTCACTTTCGAAAAATCAGAAAAAATTTGAACTACTTTTTGGCTCTCACAACAAAAGTTACGTAGACAACTAGATATGGATAATGTTAAGACTTTTACAATTAGTTATAATATTAAAAGAGAGTCTTTCAGAATTGGTAATATATCAAAAACCAAAAACAACAGATGTAACTCAATTTTTTTTCTTTCATATGAAGTTCATATTACTTTATTTATAATAGTCAGAGATCGTGGCACTACCAGATAAAACTATGTAAATTCCAATCATTTAACCTCATATTTGTACCATAAATAGAACATAGTGATACCATCTTGAGGGTGTGGGTACGAGTGGGTGAGGGTTTGGTTGTCGGTGTGAGTGGATGTAGATGTCAGAGCGAGGATGGGTGTATGTGTGTGTGATATAGTCTTGTATTCATTCACACCCACATCCTCAGAATAAAGATGGTATAGTAGTAGCGCAAATTACCCATATGTATCTGAATCTTCATTTGACTTATATTTGAATGCTGAATGAATTAATGAACTATAATTTATCATTGTTGTATTTATCCATTCTGAGGGTGAGAGTGGGACTGGATGTTTTATTTACCTCTCACTTACACTCACACTCACACCCACACCCACATCCTGAAGATGATTGATTTAGTTTTTTTATACAAATTCATAAAATGAAACCAATTCCATGAAGATTATCCATTTATTTCATATGAATGTTAATGAACAGAAACGGAAAGCTGAATGAATAAGCATGCAAAACACAAAGCAGATATATATACTGGGAGGATCTAGAGGAAAGAATAAAATTTAATTACATAAAGATGACTCAAGAATATATGTATAACATAAGAGACTGCATGAAAGAAGATGATGTATCATCGCTGAATGTCATGACGAAGCCAAAGATCAGTATCCAAACAGCTTTAATTCAGAATACTGAACACTGTTCTCGTAGCCACGCTTGCTCGAAACAAGAAACCGATAACTTTTATACCGATTTGAGTTGTTAATCTGTTGTACCACTCCACAGTTGTATCTATCAGGATCTGTTTTAAGACCACTATCCCCGTTGTAAATCAGAGTCCAGCTTGAACCGAAAGCGAGATTCGATACAGACTGATTACTTCCTTCCAATGACACTGTAATTGGATCGCGTTCTGGTGGATCATCGGCTGTGTAGATTTGTAAACCTGTAACTAATAATGCACCCCGCTTCAACTCCAAGTAAAAACCAGTATCCGAACCACATTCAACTCCATGTTTACCACCCGAACACCTTCCAAAACTTAAGTACTTCGTCTGAGGATTGCCGTCGCATGTCTGGGCTGGTGACTCACGTGCAGGATAGTTACCAACTGTGTCGCCCGATCTTGATGCTTGACTATTCTGATTTATCTTTGTATTATATACGCCATAGACAATTCCATTGATACTCTCAAGTGAGATAAGACCTGCAAAGTAAATGAAAACATTTAAAAATAGAGAAAAGTTTACAAAAATCTTCTATTTGTTCAGTTCGCTCTATTGAACAAACACGTAAAAAATAGTTTATTCGAATACTATCGAAGATGTTCTTGAAAACAAATTTTTTCGACAAATGCTTTCCATATTTATCATCCCTCTAGTTCAAAAAGTACTGCATTATGCAATTGCTCAATAATAATAATATTAAAACACAAAAGTTAATACTAGAAAGATAAAGATTTTTTATATTTATTCCTTCGTATAAAGAATAATACAGATAATGTAATATCTAGAATTTCAATCAAATTAGACAAATAAGAATCAACTACCAACATATGACTGATGTTTTTTCATTAAATAGTCTGTTATAAATTAATCTAAGTTAGCGATCAACTTCTTTCTATCTCTCTTTGAACACAGACATACCTGCTTCTGCTGTCATTATCGTTGATGATGGTTCTGTAGTTGTTGTTGTTAACATCAATGTTATTGATTCTTTTTCTGTTGTTATCATCATTATTGATGTTGAATTTGTTTCAACATCGTTTTTATTTTTGGTGAGAATAATAGCTGTTGGAATAGTAATGATCGCTACTATAACAATAGCAAATATGGTCCACGTAACTTTACTGCGAATACATATACGTCTAAAATAAAAATAAATGTTTTTCATGTAATAAAACGCAGAATACACGTACAATCTTGTCGATTGGGTTGATTGTATTTCATTTATATCATTATTAACTGGTTGAGGCTACAAAGTAAAGACAACAAAAAAAACGAATTAGTTTTGTTTTTTTGTAATAAATTATATCACAAACACTTATTCTGTTGTTGTTATCCATTCGTAAAGCTTCGTCAAAGTTTTGCACTTTTATGAAATGAAATCTAAAAGAATTCGGAAAAAGATGATACAAAAAAGCTTTTATTCCATAGAATTTCTTTCTTGCAAAATATAGTTACTTCGATATTACATAGAAAATATGTGAAACAATAAAGATTATATCATACCTTTAAAACAAAAAGTTTTCCTATCAAAAAAGAATACCCTCAAGTCATGTGATAATAATGGAAATATATCGCTGTGATTAATGATCTATCGTAAACACAAACAAAATTAACACATGATATAAAAATCAAAGAAAATGATACTCAATAGAGAAATCTTTAAAGAAATATACAAGCATTCAAGTCAAAAAAATAGAGAGGGTTTTTTGCTTCTCCATTTTTTCCGCACTGACAGAACAATGTGTGTCTATATAGATAAAAACTGAGGAAAAGCTTATCTTTTTCTCGTTTTTCTAACTCACAACATTTTATACAGGATGGACCATATGTAAGTGTGCGATAAGAAATTTAACTATATTCATTGCAGCTCGTGCAATCAAGCTGATTTCTGAATCAATAATAGACACATGTTCAAAGTTAATATGTATAAAAATATTGCTAGAGAGAGCTTTGGTTAAGTATCACCGTTGATCCTAACAACAAAACTTTTATTTTTCACATATGAGCAAATAATACCATATAGAAGAGCGTAAAGTTATTTTGCCGATAAAAACATCGGATATTGTCTCTATAGTTCGAGTGAATTAGCTGACTCTTTTATTAATGACGGAGAAAGAAATGTCTGCACAAACTTTTGATGTAATATGTTGTTTTATTTTTCTATACACGAAGTCTAGAAAGTTTTGTTTTTATGATGAATAGTGATAATTAACAAATAGTCTATCTAGATATATCTCGATCATTGATCCAAGAGTCAGCTTGGTTGCACGAGCTGCAATGGAGATATTTAAAATTTCTTATCGCACACTTACTTATGGTTCATATCGTGTATGTCAGAAGTCGTTCTATTTAAGAGAAGCGTGAGATCTCACTTTTACCCCTAACTCTCATAACTCTAGATGCCAGAACAGAACGCATTTTAACAGAGAAAAATGTTATTTATTTTCTTTTTTTTCTAACTCACAGCACTCTATATGTTAGTATCCATTCTATTTAACGAAAGCATTCTGTCTCACTTTTTCCCTTAACTCTCATGGCTTTATATATCAGGACAGGATATATTTTAACGGACGAGAACGTTATATTTTTCCCCTAACTAACACCAGTTAATATGTCAGTATGCATTTTGCTTAGGGGAAAGTGTTCTCTCTCACTTTTTTTCCTGACTCTCATAGCTTTACATGTGTAAAATCAACCAAAATGGAATGTATTTGAGGGTGTGGATCTGGATGATGATCAAGAGAAGATGCATCCACATCAGCAATCATATTCTAATTCATTCATACTCTTACACAGACCCATACTCATATTTTACTTCAATATACAATATCTTTATTTTTAAATCCATCGAGAACAGCAGTAAAAATAAATAAAGAAATAAATGAATAAATAATTGCTAGAAAATACATGGCTTTTTTTTTTGAAAATTCAAAGGCTTATTTTATTCGAACTTTCGGTGACATTCTTCACCATTATCAAGAAAGAAAAGATTCAACAATTAAACAAAAAGACTAGTATAAGAGAAAAAATATAAATTAGAATAAAAATCAAAAAATGAAGGTGAGTGGATGTAGTTATAGATGAAGAACGATCATACTAATCAATTCCACCACACCCACACCCTCAAGATTATTATATGTTAATCTCTATGTATAAATAAATAAGCGTCTAATGATGATATTCGTGAACATGAACATCGAAATATCACATAGAAGAAGGGGAAGAAAAGAATTAAACATTTAACATCATATATATATAGTTGCATATATAGTCAATAAATGTATTAAAAGAATGTGAATGCAATTCTATTGTCATTTCATTTTTTTCTCTCTTTGTGTATATAGGTTGCAAATGTTTTAATATTTCTGTTTGATATTGCAAAATAAAAACAAATGTGATTCATTGCTCCATGATATAGACTAAAACAATTTTACTAGCTACAAGTTTATTTTATCCTTTTTCACCAGAAAAAGTAATCAAAAGAAAAAGACCGATAGATTAATCAGTAAAGTTATACTTTTTTAGCAATTCTTTTATTGTCGCCTTTGTCACATTATCATTTTCTTCACCTGTGTTGGCAATTTCCTTCATTTGCTGTATGAAATCTAGCATATTGTGACGGTGTTGTTCTTCATCCTAGAAAAATATATATATATTCGTTTCATCATTGCTATATTGTACATGGGCGGATTTAACATATTTCTTAAAAAGTAGAAGAAATCCTTACGTTCAGTTTTTCAGCCATTTGATTGCAAAGTGTAAGACAGAAATACACGCATACACACTGATGTATATATATATACATGAATCAAACTAGACTATATAATTTTTTTTAACATTTTTCTCTATCTTTCTTTGTTTATAGATGACGATCGAGGCCAGGTGAAAAAAGAATCGAGAGATGATCAATTACATTCATATGATGTTAGTAACAGAACTTTTAAAATAAAACGTACAAGTAATACTAGTTTAGAACGTTCAACTTGAGGACATTGATCATCACTACGTTCAAGTTTACCATCTCCAGGTCCAATAATGGGGCACAAAAACGGCCAGTTCCGTAGTATTCCAGAGATTTCATAGAATACTGCTTCAGGAACCATCGTCATGGGCCTAGAAAAAATATATATTAGTTTTATCATAGCTATTTCGTAATTGTGTGGATCTAACGTATTTCGTAGAACTAAAAAATTTTCTTACGTTTAACTTTTGAGCCATGTTGTTGTTACAGCGTCAGCAGTGGCCGACTTCCGCAAATTCTGAACCCATGAGGAATCTTGATGGTGTGGACGAAGGCGTAAGAATGTGGATTAGGATGAGCTAGTAATGACGATATATGACAGTGTGGATGAGAGTGAGGTACTAAATATGAGAAAGTGTTATACTAACGAATTCTGTGACTCCTCACGGATTCATAATTCATGGAAGTTGGCCAGGTCTTTTCAATTGAAAAAACATATTCAACTTACCCTGTTGAATTGATCATAAACTCAAACGATAGATTCTTTTCCACGAAATCCATGGCTTCCTCGACACTAGTTCTTGCCATTATTAATGCTTGTTTTGAAATCATATCACGTCTTTTAAAGTAATGTTCAGTGTAACTTTGATTACTATGTTGTACTACTTGAACATCATTATTTATCATTGTTATTGTTGGATTGGAAGCAGATAAGCCATTATTTCCAATAGTAATATTATTGTTCATTATACTTTCAACATCATCATCATTATTATTTCCATTAGTAGTATTGTACATACTCAAATATACGAAGAGAGAGAGACCATTAAAGTTTTTTTTGACGACCTAAACTGTTAAATAGACCGTGTTCAGTGAATTTACGATCTAAAAATTATTTGAAATTTCAAGATTTTCTATTAAATTCAAGAGGACAAACTAATTTCGAAAGCCGAAATCCCTTGAAATCAAGAAATCAGTTTTCCCTCTTGTTAAATTTCAATTTTAAATCTTACTTTTCTTTATGAATTCGTTAAATGGAGCGACTTTGGTAGGAACATAATAATTGCAATTGTTGTCGTCTAAATAAAATGTTTTTCTTTTGATAATAAAAACTCGAATAAAGTTTTTCTTTAACATACCGGTCAGTGCGTCGAGAAACCAAGATTTTGTTGATACATTTTTGTTGAAAACTATTTGAATATACACTTGATCATGTATAAGATCATCTTCAGTCACACAAATATATCGGATAGAATCTTTATATCGTTTTTTGGTTGCACTCATAATTGCATCCACTATTAAGAAAAAGTTATTATTTGGAAATTATGATTATCTATAATAAATATACTACTTGACGTCGTTGTACAAGACATAATGGTATACATATAAGCACTTAATCGAGCTTTCTTTTCGACGTTGTTTTGTTTATCATCCTTTAAATCAAATTCAAATTGTTTTGCCAATGTGTTTTTGTCTAAGATAGATTATAATAGTAGTAGATGCATTATAAGTTTTTTCAATTATACACCAATGGGCGACTTATGTAAATGCTGGACTCGTAAGGAATCCAAGGAATCTTAATGGTGTGGATGAAGGCGTAAGAATGTGAGTGTGGATTAGGATGACTTAATAATGAAAATATATGACTGTGCGGATGAGAGTGAGAGACTAATTATGGGAAAGTGTTATACTAACGGATTCTAGGATTCCTCACGTGTTCAGAATTCATGTAAGTCGGCCAAATGGTCAATTAATTACTAAAGTGTTCAACAAGCCATTCAATAGTATTCATCCACTACATATGAAGCCAAACATACCATTCACTATGTTATTACGTAGCATTAGGTATTGTTCAACGTTTCAAGCTTATTTACAAGAACGTGATCATCTACGAATGGCATTACTTCTTAAGCAATATCCAATAAAGTTTATCGATCAACAATTTAATCGTGTCCTCGAAAAATTCAATATTCTTCAACCATTTACATCAACTAACTATGAAACAATTCATTTACAAATTATCAATAGTCCAATTAAAGTTTAAGATCCAGTTAATTATGATCAATCAATGTTTGTTCATTTTACTTATTGTTCCAGTATGAAATCATTCCCTGAAAAATTTCATCAGCTTTGGAATAAATACTTGTAAACACGTGATTCATGAATGAATCTAATATCGGTACTCATACTTCAATCTCCCTTCTACTTACCTATTATAAGCAGCTCCCACTCCATTCGTTTCTCTTTCAACATTCATACAGATATTATTATGAGTAGCCCCTATTCTATTTCTGATTTCGTTTCCTTTTTTCTTTTAACGTTTATTTCTATATTATTCTAGCTTTTGTTATTTTTCATATCTCTTATAAATGCAGAGCTCTGATGAGTGTTTTTTATTTTTAAATAAATACACGAAACGCCTCGGCGAAGCAAATATCTGCATTTATTTATTTATTTATCTTATTAATAAGCATATTAATTTATTAGTTATTTTGGACAATAGATCGATTGCTGAAAAGCAAAAGTTGAAATTAGCGGATTCATTTGTATCTTAGATGTATAAGTTAATCTGTTTCATATCGAGTGAAATAAAAAAAAAATTTTAAAAGTTGTATGCGTAAACATTCATAAGAAACCTCAAATTATAATGACATGGTTTTTTCTCGATCTGCCACTTGCTTTCATCGGGATAATGAGAACGACGAATGACAGAACGAAAAAGTCACTGTTATTTGTTCCATTTCTAATATATGCAAATGTAAAAACTTCTTAATTAACAATTTCAAATAAAAATCATCGATAATAATTGAAGTTGACAAAATGACAAGTGAATTGCATTCAGTTAATCGAAATGAAGCTCCTCATATAAACAGTGGCAGCGCGACCGGGAATGGGGGGGGGGGGGGGAGTACCCCGTACTTTTGGAAAAAATGGTAGGATTTACTCCGGTTTTACGCCCAGGAACTACCTGAGGGAGAGTACAGCGTTTTTCTTTTGCTCGTCAGTTCTGGTTTTTCGAGGAACTTTTTGAAATCTGAGAGAAATTTTTAAAAAATTGCTAACGATGACCAACAAAAAAATATTTCTCGTTTTGTTTCTCTTTTTTTTAGGATACCCCCTTCCCTGCTTTGACCCCTTCGCGCCGCTACTGGATATAAATCATTTTATAGAATTTCATTGATGAATAGCTAAGATCAATTTTAAATAAGATATTAATTTGATTGGTAATGTCATTTGCTTATGTAAAACTTTATGTCAAATATAAAAAATGAGAAGTAAGAATAATAAGATCATGTTGTTTTTTAATTTTATTTTATGCAAACAGATGATTATTGAGATTTATTAAAAATGTCGTATTTCGGACTTTTCGAATGAATAAATAAATAAAAAAAAAGTAATCATGCATTATAAATACATATAAATAGAGAATACATCTGTAGTTTTCATAGGTTGGTGTATTCATGAAAAAGTGCATAGAGTATTTTACTTTTATAATATAATTCATAAGTATATTTCTAATCATGTGTTTACCATATTATTCGTCTTTTACTTTCCAATAAAAACCTTCCTCATTTTTAACATTACCAATTTTTCATTTAGAAATAAAATTCTTCCCTGTTTGAAAAAATAAGAACAATAAAAATACAATGACATCAGATGTAAGTGGAAGAGCTGTGGTTGTGAATATACCTGATAATGCTGTTAGAACTTTAACAGTTGAAGATATTTATGATAAAGATAAATATGATTTATCAAAAATGGAAGAAGGAGACGTTTTTAAAATGCTTAAGTATATTTTATAAAAAATTTCATTTTTATTCAATGAAAAAGTTTTGTTTTTGTTTTAGTGCAACACGTGAAGGTTTAACAGATGAAGAAGTCAATGAACGTCTTTTAAAAGTTGAAAATTAATAATTTTCTTTTTGTATTTATGAAAATGAAACGTTTTTTGTTTAGTTTGGACATAATCGACTTGAACAAAAAGAAAAAAGTCGTATTTTACAATTTCTTCTATTTATGTGGAATCCATTATCATGGGTAATGGAAGCAGCAGCTATTGTTGCTATTGCTGTATCAAATGGTGGTGGATTACCTCCTGATTGGGAAGATTTTCTTGGAATTGTTCTTCTTCTTCTTGCTAATTCAATAATTGGTTTTATTGAGCAACAAAATGCTGGAAATGCTGTTAAAACACTTATGGCATCATTAGCACCGGAAGCGAAAGTTAAACGTAATGGGGAATGGAAAGTTATTGCAGCAAGTGAACTTGTTCCAGGTGATGTTATTAGTATTAAACTAGGTGATATTGTACCTGCTGATGGAAGAGTTATTGGTAAAGAGATAAAAAAAAATATTTTTTAGAAATTTTTTTTTTATTTTTATTGTTCAGCTGCACATGGAGCAGTTTCAATGGATCAAGCAGCATTAACTGGTGAATCTCTACCTGTTAGTAAATCAGTTGGCGATGAACTTTTCTCTGGTGCGCTGTGTAAACAAGGCGAAGCAGAAGTGATTGGTTAGATAAAAAAGAAAAATTATTTTCAAAAAAATTCCCTTTGATTTTTAGTTACTGGAACAGGTGAACATTCATTTATGGGTGTGACAGTTAAATTAGTTCACTCTGCTCAGAATGATATGGGTCATTTACAATTAATTCTTTCTAAAATTGGTAATTTTTGTATTGTTGGAATTGTTATTTTTATAGTTGCTGAAATCTTAGTGATGTAGTATGTAATCAAATGAAATCATATTCTCAAGTTTCCTAGATATTTCTTTATGATTTAGTGCTGGTTTTCGTTATAATTATCGACGTGGTATAAATAACATCTTAGTACTTTTAATTGGTGGTATTCCTATAGCAATGCCAACGGTCTTATCAGTAACATTAGCTATTGGTGCTAAACAATTATCTAAACATAAAGCTATTGTTACACATATAACTGCTATAGAAGAACTTGCTGCTGTTACGATTTTATGTTCAGATAAAACAGGAACATTAACATTAAATAAACTTGTCATTGATAAATCAATTGTGAAAAAATATTCTGATACTGACAATAATCAAATTATTCACTATGCAGCAATTGCATCACGCATGGAAAATCAAGATGCCATGTAAAATTGAACAGAAGAGTTTGAAAATTTATCAAAACTTTTCTTGTTTTAGTGATGCTTGTATAACATCAACATATGGTGATATGAAAAAAATACGTGAGGGTATCGAAGAATTAGATTTTAAACCGTAAGTTGCATTTTTCTTAAGAAAAAGAAAGAAATCGAACTTATTCTATTTAAGATTTAATCCAACAGATAAACGTACAGAAATAACATACAGAACAATAAATGATGGAAAGTTACATCGTATAACAAAAGGAATGTCACATACAATCTTAGATTTATGTACACGAGATAAAACAACTGAACAAATCAAACAATTAAATGATGATGTCAATGAATTTGCACGACGAGGTTTACGCGCATTAGCTGTTGCAATTGAAGATGTTCCAAATGGAGAGATCGATTGTAAAGGAAATGGTTTTAAATTAATTGGTCTTTTACCAATTTTTGATCCACCACGTGAAGATACAAAAGAAACAATTGATCGAGCTCTTAAACTTGGTAAAAAATAACAAAAAAAAAAACATTTTCTTTTTTTATTTATTGAAATCTTTTTTTTTTAATAATAAAATTTAGGTGTTAAAGTTAAAATGATAACTGGTGACCAATTAGCAATTGCGAAAGAAACTGGTCGACGTCTTGGTATGGGTGATAAAATGTTTTTATCTAGAACACTTAAAGATGGTCCACCAATTGATTCATCTTATCATGATACTGAAGATTTAATATTACATGCTGATGGTTTTGCTGGAGTTTATCCTGAACATAAATATGAAATTGTTGAAAGATTACAAAAGATGGGTCATATGATTGCTATGACAGGAGATGGAGTTAATGATGCACCTGCTTTGAAAAAAGCAAATGTTGGTATTGCTGTTGCTGACGCATCTGATGCAGCACGTTCAGCTGCTGATATTGTTTTACTTGAACCGGGCTTATCTGTTATTATTGAAGGTAAAATTTTTTTTAATAAATGTAATAAATTTAAAAGAATTTTTTTTTTTAAAAGCGATTCTTGGTTCAAGACAAATCTTTCAACGAATGAGAAATTATGCTATTTATACATGTTCAGTTACAATTCGTATCTTAGTTGGATTTTCTGTACTTATATTTGCTTTTCAATTTGATTTTCCATCATTTATGGTAACATAAAAAACAATTTTACTCTATTCGATTAACTAAAAAAATATTTTACGTATGTTTGTAAAGGTACTTATACTTGCTATACTAAATGATGGTACAATAATGACAATATCAAAAGATCGTGTTGAACCATCACCTTATCCAAATAGTTGGAATTTATTTGAAGTATTTACCTATGCAATTGTTTATGGAATATATTTATCAATATCGACAGTTGCTTTTTTTGCTGTGATTATTAAAACAACATTTTTTCAAGATAAATTTGGTGTACAAACATTTGAATATCGTCCATTAACAGATCGCAATCCCGAATGGAATGATCCAATATTACATTCAATTATTTATTTACAAGTGTCTACAATCAGTCAAGCATTGATATTTGTTACACGTTCACGTGGATTCTTTTTTACTGAACGTCCATCAATAATTTTAGTTTGTGCTTTTATTATAGCACAACTTGTTGCGACATTTATTGCTGTTTATGCTAATTGGGGTTTTACAGATATTCAAGGTTGTGGTTGGTCATGGGCTGGTATTGTTTGGATATGGAATATTATTTGGTTTTTTCCACTTGATTTGATTAAAGTAAAAGAAAATCAAATATGATATTAACGAATTGAATGTTTATTTTTAGTTTGCACTTCGTGCTTATTTTGATCCAAAACATGAACAAATTGTTGAAGAAGTTTTAACATCCAAACCATCAACAGATGCACAACGTCAGCGTCGTCAAAGTATTACGGCTGACAATGCTGTTCCCGATGGTCCACCATCACGAAGTGGAACTGTAACTAATACTCAAAGTTTACAACAACAACGAAGAAGATCAACAATTTCTGATTTAACAGCTAAATATTACGCACCAGTTATAGATCATTTATCAACATCACAACGTCGAGGTTTCGCCGGTCCTGCATCAAATAAAGTTGAACCAACATTTGTTGCTGCTCCTAATGAACTTAGACGTTTTTCAATTGTGCAGGTTAAGATTTATTTAATGTTTTATTTTTTATATTTTTATTTTTGTATATTTAAGACTCAGCAAGTTTCAGCAGTGCTCAACGCTGGTGGTGAAGGTGTTAATAATCGGATGAATGCTTCTTAAGATAAATTTATTATTCAATTAATTTATTTATTCGAATATTTGACATTTATTTACTTAGTTTTTTTTTATTTTTAATTTTATTGATTTAAATTAAGGAGAAATTTCGATGTGATCACATGAATATTCGTGCTGAATCATTTTTTTCATAAATGTCTTATGTTCCGGTAACATTTAATAATAAAATTCAAATAATTATGGTTTTCTATGAGTTTAAATCTAGTTTTCGATAGTTTTTGTACGTATCAGAGATGTCCATTGCGGCTGAACATCTGACGCTGCGGCGATGGTGACTTTAGAAATATCCAGACTTTCAAGTCTGTAATTGATTATAACTGAAGCTATTACCCTCAGACGACCTAATTCATTGAGTTTTACAGTCTCGCATACTTTAAAATAAAGATTTTGTGTAAATTCATGTATTTTTCAGAATCTCCGTTTTTTCGAAAGTGCCGCCATGGACACCTCTGGTACGGATTGCATCATGTAACTATTTAAAAAGTCTTGCGTATTTTTCGATTTTGCTGTAGTCAGAACTTTAATTAGGGTGTGGGTGTGGGTGTCGATACACATTGAATGAATACCCACACTCACAACGATATTACACAAATGCTAGACATAGAAATACTTGGTAGATGCATTTAAAGATGTAATTTACATTTAATTACTTTTTAATAAATCAGCATGTTATTCTAAATATATTCGATAATCAATTGTATGATTTGATATTTTAAATAAATGTCGAATGATAACAGGACGTCGTTCATTTCAACTCCAAAAATGTCCAAAACAGTATAAAGAACTATAAACTATTTGAAAATTTGAAAGAAAGTGTTCCGATGGTTTATATCTACCTGTAACTTGAGGACGTGGATGAATGTTAATCACTGCGTGAATATTAGTTGAAGATAAATCGTAGCCTACAATTACACTTACATCCATCTATCCAGAAACTATCAAATATATCAGGATCAGCTACAAAATACATGTTTTAATCGATTTAGTTGTTCTTTCAATTCTATGCAAAAAAAAACAAAATATGTTGTTCAAACTAATTCTGTTTTCTCTGTTAGAAAACGTTGCATCTTGATCTTTAAGTGACGATTTTCAATGTTTTTCTTTCATATCCGCCCTCCAAAGTTTTAATATCATGAATATTTATTGTGTTTACAGCAAATTATAACTGACATCTGGTAAAATTTAGTTAAAAAAATCAGCTTTGAAAAAGGAAGAAAAATTTATTGTTCTTATTTACTGATCATTTTTAATGTTGTGTGTTATTGCAGATGTTTCTATAAAAATACTTTACGTTGATATTATACTGTAGACTAAAAGTGTCAGCCGTCGGCTCTAGCAAAAATATCAGCTGCCAGTCGTCGGCTTTAGCAGAAATCGGCTGACGGCTTACACCTCTAGTCTGTAGAAAAAAATTTGTTATTTTCATATTTATTAATTTGCAGCAGCATATTGAAGTGTTTTCTCTCTCGTTAACGATTTTATAGTCAGTTACTTAATAATAATACTGCAAAACAACTTTTAGCTCTTTGTCGACTGCATTTGGGTAAGTGTTAATATAACATAATATTATGTGAATAATGATAAAAGAAAGATTTTTTAGCTTCTATGAACAAAAATAAATTTCAACGCTTTTTTTCTAAATGTTTTTCATTGTTTTAGTTTTGCTTAAAAATTATTTTCTCTTCATATTTGAAAAGACATATTTTATCCTGATGTCATCTGTTTTTATTAGATATTTTAGATTATTGGTTTTAATAAGATATTAATTCAATTTTACACGTGTACAAAACATTCATTATGAGTCGAAATCAAATAGGAGTTTGTGATGTAATATATCTTGCTTAAATTAGATAAAATAACTTTGATTTCAATAAATTATTTTAGTCTGAACCAGTTACATCGGATTCTCAACAAACATCAACTGATCGACCAACATTGTTGTATGTGTTTTGTGAATTATTGAAATTCATAATCGAAAGAATTGTTTATTCTAGAAGCAAATGTTTAAAAAAAAAGAAATTATTATGGATCGTTATTTTTATTATCATTGTTATTTTGGTCGTAACTATTACAACTGTGATTATTAAAACAAAAAAAACAAACAAAATAAAACTATCAACTGTGGCGACAGAAACAACAGATGAAACAGCTCATGAGTTTACAATTACAGTCGACAACCCGACGACACAAGGTATAATATTAACAAAATAAAAAAAAAGGCGGTAACCTTGTTTTTTTAGTAAATTATTAACACATTTTCGTGATGTGTTAAGTGTTGAATTTATTTTTGAATATTTTATAAGAATATTTATACACATTAGAATTCTATCATTTGATTTTAAACTAAATGCAGAAAAAAAGATGGAGTCGATTTCAAACTAAAATGTGAGGACTAGGGACTACGAGGAGCAGGGTATGGGTATGGATAAGAGAAGAACACAGTACCCACACTCACACCCGCATCTCGTATACTGCCGAGAATAGATTAGCCATGAAACAGTTTGAAGTTGTAAAAGGATACAGCAAAATCGATACATCACCTTAGATGGTTTATGGAAACTTACAATTATTTCAAATAAAATTGTGAACCGGAGAACTCTTGGTAGCCCACATTTTTTAAAAATGTTTCTTTTTACTCTCAAACTCTAAGATAACTGACTCTAAGAAGATGCATACCTTAGAAGTATTTATCCAACACTGTTCGACTATACAATAAATATAAATAAAATTTTACGAGTGCAGAAATCGGCAGTTCCTTCTAATCCCCTTAATCCCCTAGCCTCCTTAAGTCCACTATTAATAGAATAGTGGTAACGATGGCATAAGTAGAAGGTCTTATTTAGAAAGTTCATCCAAGTCGTTTTGTGTTCACATCTATAAAATGAAATGATGAAAAGAGTACATGTTACCTTTAGTTGTAATGACGTTTTCGAATACTAAAATATTAACCTTCCGCTTGGGTGCGAGGAAAGTCAATGCTCTCATTTTTATCTTAGTCCCCCATTTTTTGGAGAAAGTGAGACTGATTTGTTTTTTCAAAAATTCAATTTGAAATAAAAAAGACCATAGACCCGGTCTAGTAGGGACTATCAGAGACACTAGGCACTACAAGGTACGTAAGAACTATTAGGCATTACTAGAGTTTAGTAGAGACTGCCAGGGACTACCATAATCAATGCCTCCGCTTTCACCCACATCGACATGATACGCCCTTTGACAGTATAACAGATTCACCCACACGCTGGTATCCATATTGTCCGTAGTATCCTTGCTAGTCCCTGGTGAAGTATGTCAAACTTGAATTACTTTGTAATTCATTCATGAATTCAACAAATCTTTAAAATCCATTCTCCTTTTTAATTCCATTTAAGTTTAAATTGTTTTTTCATGAATGATTCTACATTGCTTTCTTCTCGAACTTTGCAAGAATCAAATGAAATTTCTTCATAAAAATTAATTCTATTTTTTTGTTCTGACATTTTTGATTAAATCAATTTTGTTAGATTTTAATTTAATATCAAATCTTTCTTTTCTTCGCTGTTAGTACAAAACAAGCCAAAATATAACAAATGGAATGAATATGGAATTACTATTGCTGGAGGAAATGGACATGGAGATCACTTAAATCAACTCTTGAATCCTGATGGGATCTATATCGATGATAACAAAGCCATTTTGATTACTGACAATACAAATAATCGTATTGTTGAATGGAAATATAATGCAATGGAAGGAGAAGTCATTGCAGGTGGACATGGGGCAGGACATAGTCAAAATCAACTCTATTTTCCAGCCGACGTAATTGTTGATAAAGAAAAGAATGCGATAATCATATGTGATTTTATGAACGGACGAGTCATGCGATGGTTCCGTCAAAGTCAAACAAATCCAGAAATTTTGATTTCTAATATTCAGTGCAAAGGTTTGGCAATAGACAAAGATAGGTCTATTTATGTTTCTGATTTTGTAAGGTGTGAAGTAACTCGATGGAAAGAAGGTGACACAGTTGGAACAGTAGTTGCAGGTGGAAATGATAATGGAGATGGTCTTAATCAATTTAGTTGGCCTATGAAAATCTTCGTCGATAAAGATTATTCTGTTTATGTATCAGACTGGGGAAATCATCGTATAATGAAATGGGAAAAAGATGCAAAAGAAGGAATTGTTGTTGCTGGCGGAAATGAACGAGGAGATGATCTCAACCAATTAAATTATCCTGATGGACTGATTGTTGATACTTTAGGTCAAATCTACATTGCCGACTCTTATAATTATCGAGTTATGCTTTGGTTTGAAGGAGATACAAATGGTTCAATTGTTGTGGGTGGAAATGGTCGAGGAGACGAATCAAATCAATTAGATAATCCCACAGATTTATCATTTGATGTTGAAGGAAGTCTTTATGTTTCCGATGGTAGTAATCATCGAATTCAAAAATATGAACAATGTACTGAATAATATGAAAATTATTTTATTTTGAAAATAACTCAACTATGATATAATAAAATTCATCTAAATAAAAGATAAAATCATTTAATTTTGAATAAAAATAGGAATGCGCAGTTTCAGTAAACTTGAGGGGGTGTGGCTGTGGGTGTGGGTGTTAACTACAACAAATATAATACCCACACCCACACCCATTATTCTACGATTTTATCTATCTGATGGCTTATATTTAAAGTTAATATACTTGGTAATGTACGCTTTTATAAATCCTCTGTAGAGCCGATGACAATGATAAAACCTTTCATATACGGTTTTTTCATCGGAATAGTCGAGTATATGGCGCTCAAATACCCTTCAAATTGGATTGTTTTGCGGACTTCAGTATATGGTCTTTTGTAATTCATAAACGGTTGTAGTGGGTTTATGAAAGTGCAACGTATAACAATCCCTTTAAGGATTTAATGATAATATAATATAAACGCTGTGATAAACCCTTTATTATGGTTTTTTGTTGTTCATGAACGTTGACATATTCCTTTTGCAAATCGTTTATTCCACAGTTTATGCAAATATGATAAACGGACGAAAACGGTTTGTTATACGTTGCACTTTTTTATACAGTGTACATCGAAGTGAGACTAATATCAAGTAATAAATAATCATTGATCGAGAAACTAATAAACTAATATAATCAGACAATATAATTTATACACGCTACTCATCGATTAGTTATATCTGTACTGGATATTTTTTTTATCGAATAAAAAATTCAATTTTATTTATTTATCTATTTTGTGCGCGCATAATTTTAGTGTTATTTGAAATCAATTATAAAAAAAAAATTAATATTAACATAGAATATTTATTCTATCTCGTCAATGAAATTCCTCGTATTAGGTGATAGTCATGTCCGACACATGCCATCAAATTTTACAACATCATCATATACGTTAATCATCAAGTCTGTTTCAGGTTTAAAATTTAAAGATTATTATAATAAAAAACTCCTTATTTGATTTATTATTTACATTTGAAATTCAATTTTTGTTATCTGAAACAGATGCACTTTTGCTCCTACTTGGAACTAACTCAATCAGAATTTTTACAGAATCTACAATTATTTCACAAATTGAAGAAATTATTTTTTTTTCTTCGACAAGTATATCCTCAATTTAGCTGACCTCAAAGTATTACTATACCATTATGTTTTCCCTGTTTGAAAACTATTCGTAAATTTCGAACTAAAAATGTTTTAAATATTGACGACATAAAAGACAAAATAATATTTCTAGTTATTGATCACAATTTGAACTTAATAAAATTTGAATCCTATTTATCCTTGCATCAATAAAAACAAGGTCATCTTTTCCATCTTGATTTAAATCAACTGCTTTCAATGAATGACAACATTTATCACTATTATTTCCATTAATTCTGTAATATATATTAGTTCGACGAAATATTCCAAACTTTCTTCCAACAAATATATTTATAGTTCCATTACAAGTTAACACAGCTAAATCATCGATTGAATCATTATCAAAATTCAATTGAGCAACTGATGTTGGGCGAGTTTCTGTTAAATAAATTTGTTGAGTAAACTTGTTATTTCCATAATCAAGTAGAACCTGTAATGTATCAGATTGAAAAGAAATACCTGCTAAATCATAACGTTCATCATCATTGAATCGTCCTTTAATGAATGCTGATGGAGATCTATACATATACTTTCCAACTATAACGTCATAACAGTATTCCGATTGATTGGTATTATTTTGTTTTAAAAAAGTATGTATTCTACTGTAATCACCACATATAATCAAATCATTTGCTTTTCCATTGTTATTGACATCATCGATGACTATTGATGTAATATTTTCTTTAGTCTGTAGATATATGTTACAATCAGCTACAGTATCAAATGATTTTCCATTGTTTGAATTAAAAAATATATCTAATTTCCCGCCGAGTTTCGCATTATTGACATTATAAACTATTAATAAATCGATAAATTTATCATTATTCAAATCATTGACTTCAATCAATTCTGGACGATAACCAAATGCATTGTTTGAAAAACGATACGGTGGTATTTCGAATAGATCATTCGACTTAACACCGAAGAAAATCATGATTTCCTTTGTTTCATATAATGTCACAACTAAAATAGAAAAGAGAAAACTAAAACCATTCTATGACATTTTTTTTATCCATCATCAAGGAAATGATGGAAGCATATTAAGTATTTCCGTACTGAATTGCTATATACTACTAGTCGACAGTAATACAGATTTATCTTTGAATGATATTCAATTATCAAACATTTACCTAAATCTAATAATCCATCATTATTGAAATCAGCACTTTTTAAATCACGTGGTTTTGATTTATTTCCTGTTGAATAGATTTTGGATGTTCGAAATGTGCCATTCCCATTTCCTAAAAAGACACTTATTGTATCAGAATCAGAATTCGTCACAGCTAAATCATTAATTGAATCTTGATTAAAATCACTCGTAATGAGTGACGTAGGATCAAGACCAGTTGCATAAAATTCAGATTGATATTTCCAAGTCAAATAACAAATATCTACAAAATAAATGAAATAACTATCGGATTACTGATCATTATATTTACAAATACCTGGTGATACCGATGTAAATTCTGCTATTACATCACTACTACTACTACTACTGATTAGAGTTGTTTGTGTATTTGTTACGATAAAGTTTTCTTCGATATCTCGATTGAGAAACAAAATAACGGTACTGGTAATTATAGTACATATGGCAAACAAAATTAAACTAATGATAAGTATTCGATCACAACGTCTGTTTCGTCTTAAAGAACAAATATTCAGAAAATTTGATCAATCTAATTACTTACAAGTTTATTTGTTCTTCAGTAGAACTCACATTGATCTAAATGATACAAAAGTCAAGAAAAAAACTATTTACACGATCGATTCAATACTACAGAATCGTTGAAAGTTCTATATGATAATAAACAGATTAACAATACCTGAACTGTTGTTATTATTTGATCTGGAATGACAGCTATATCTGATTGATTCGAATCTATTCCAATTTGCGTTTTCTTTTTTCGATAATCAATTATTTTATAAATAATTAATCCAATCAAAAATACACCAAAATGTAATCCTTTAGTTAAACCGCCAAACAATGCAAATAATGTTGTTGCAACATAGATTGAATTATATTGCATTTGATACGAATATTGACATGACTGAGGATTACATTCATTGAAATAAAGATTAAATGATGGTTTAGGAAACCATTGAGAAATGAAAAGTTGACTAAGAAGTGTTTCAATTGTTGTATTTGGATTTGATAATAAAGAAGAGGTAAGAATATTATATGGAATTGGTTTCGAATGATAAATTATTGCACGTAAAATATCCATACATGTTTGATTATAAAGACAAGTTAAACTCGATTGAAGAAGAGAATCAAATGGTAAACAACCAGAAAAAAATCCTGGCAAACTTTCTCTTAATGATTGATTTGATGTACGAAAAGGAAAATAAACGGATTCTGAACAAGTTGAATATCTTCCACATGAACAGTTATCTTTTCCATATATTACTGATCGTGCTATTACATTTAATGTAGACCCTTGATCTAAACTATAAAGCTCTGTATTACTTAAGTAGAATCTCCAGCTCGACGAAAATAACGAAGCTAATTGATTTGCGTGATTTATTGTTTGAATTAATTTGAACGTTTCTATAAATTGATCAGATGTTGTTGTTTTAAATTGTTCAATAATTGATTTTATTTTCCTATTGAATTCATCTTGCGGTATAACATGCATTGTAATAAAATCAGTTTCTTCAAATTTTGATAGTGCTGTATTCAATGTATTTCGAGTAAGTTCACAAATTTTTGACAATGAGTCAAAATGAAAACCGATCCTTGCATGAATTTGAAATTCAAAATCAAATAATATATTTTCACGACCGGTATCAGGCATACTTTCCATCCATTCAGGTGAAATAAATATACTTGAACAAATCTGGTGATATTCAGGTTTAATTTCAGTAATAAATTTTTTGTATTTAATAGCAATATTTGTACAAGAACATTCAAGTTTAATAGAATATTGATTATATAATTCTTTATATTTTAATAAAGATGGTGATTCAGCAGTATCTGTAATTGTTCGTTGTTTTATAAATGTATAAATTATAAGAATAAATAATGTTGTAATCACTAAAATTAAATATATTCGAGTTGAACGTCGATTTCTACGAATGATTCTTAGATCTTGTGACGGTGGAATAGTTGGAAAAAGATTTAATTCTTTTAATTTTTGTTTACGACGTATGAATAGAGTATAAAGACCATTAGAAAATCCTAAATTAAATAGCTTTAATTAGTTTCTATTAGACAAGTAACGCTCGTTCGAGGACTCGCTTAGCTCTTTCTCGTAGAAATGCATTTTCTTCACATTTACTGAAAAAACGAATGAAAACCATGAAAATTTGATTTTCGATGTTTTTTTTGATCCTGCGGACAGACACGCAAGCAGACAATTTATTTTTGTAAGACTCTTCTCTATAAGAAAGAGAACATACACCGATCTCGAACTACCCAGGTTCGGTCATTCCCGATACCTGAAATATCTGACTCAGCCATCAGTTTACTTTAGTGCATAACAGACATGATTCGCGATCGAAAACGACCGAATCTGATATTTCCAAGTTCGGTTGTCTCTGGTCTGTTTCAGGCCATGAGACGTGTCTACTATACGCCAAAGTAAGCCGATTACTCAGCTTGATATCTCAGGTTTCGGTATATGCCTAGTTTTTATAGGAAATTTCTTACGTATTCTTAAAGATATTGTTTGTCTTGTACGGATGACATTCTGATGTCGACGACGAAAAACAAAATTTGAAATTGAAAAAATTGATTTAACAAGAATTGGTAATAGTAAACGTAGAACAGTATTAATTCCTCCAATTAATCCAAGAATTGTTGTTATAGTATATATAAAATTTAATCGAGTTTTATAACTATATTGACATTCTAATGGATGACAATGTTTAAAATATGAATCAAATAGGCTTTCATTATTCCATGATTGAATAAAAAGATTATTAACTATTTTATCAATTCGTTCATATTGAGTTTTATTTGATGAAAGTTTTGTAAATTTTTTATTTGATATTTGAGTTAAATTAATAAATTTTGTTATTTGAGAAAGACATTGATCTTGATAAAAACATTCTAATGTTGATATAAGAAGTGCTTCTAGTGGATTCCATGTTTGAAACATTCCTGGAATAATCGAACTAATTCCACTTTCATTAATCATCGTTTCTCGATAACATTCATAAGTTGATAGAGAAATACAATAACATGCACCATAGAGTACTGAATTACAATCATCTCTTTCCTTCCGTAGATAATAAAAAAATAGAAATTTAAACACGTTATAATTTTCATCAATATTATCCGGAGCAGTAAAAAAAGAATTCATTGGTGTAATAAATTGATTTATATCAAAATTAAGTCGTAATAAATTTAATATTCGTTGAAATGTTTCCAGTACATTTCGTTTAAATTCTTCAATAGTTGAATTCATTTGTGTTTGAAATATTTCACGAGGAAGTACATGATTAGTAATCAGTTTTGTTCGATAGAATGATTGAAGAGAATCTTGAATTGTTTGATTTGCGATTGAACATAATGTTGATAAAAGTTGAAAATGAAATTGAGATTGATAACGAATATCACGCGTTATCAATAGTGAAGATGATAATTGCAAAAATTGAAGATTAATCCACTCAGAAGAAATAAAATCACTCGTACAAACTTCATGATATTCAGGTTTAATATTAGTTATTAATTTTTTTTCTATTGTTGTATTTTGGCACGAACATCGTAAAGTTAATGGATATTGATGATAAAGTCGATCGAAATCAGTTAAGTTCGGTGATTTCTCGATAATATGAATTGTTTGTGGTTGAAGTGTTATAAGTAAAATGAGAATTATCAAAGCTAATGACAATAGAATCAAATAAATTCGTGTTGTATAACGTTGTTGTCGAAGAATATGTTCGTCTTGCGATGAAATACGATTTTTGAAAAGATTTAGTTCGATTAGTTTTTGTTTTATTAATTGACAAAATCTTTTTACACGATCATTGAAAGAAAGTGTCGGATTTTCAGGAGATTCATTTGATATAATTTGTGTTGTAGGTGTTCTTAGTTTAATAATAAATTTGCGAAGAAAAGGCCATATTGTTTTGATAATAATTGGTACAAGAATTCTCAATGTTGATGATAAACCACCAAATAAACCAATAATTGCTATGAATATAAATAAAATATGATGACGTTGAATTACTGTATATTGACAAGAACTTGGTGAACAATAATTAAAATATTGTTCGAAGGATATTTTACTTGACCAATGAATAACAAACATTCGACTAAGTAATGTTTCTATTGTTGAATTTAAATTTGAATTTGAAGAATTTAATTTTTGATAAATATTTGTTGAATTAGTCACAATATTAATGAATGTTTGATTATAAAATACTTCAAGTGTCGAACTAAGAAGTGCACTAAGCATATAGCAGCCTGTTTGAAATCCATGAACAGTATTATTTTTAAATGTCGTTAGACCCATACATTTTGTAGCTGTTGAACTTGAACAAATACAAGAGAAACCATTAGCAAGCGTATAATTTTTTCCAGAATATCCAATACTTTCGTCATTAATCCCGTGGTATAATTGAACAACAGGTAAAATACTTGTTAATGAAGCACCAGTCATGAATAAACTTTGTGCTGTTATATCTTGAATAAATTTTATTGTTCTTAAAAAATCTTTTGGAATTAAATCAATAAAAACTTCTAATGAGGAGTTTATTTGATCTAGAAAGGATTCTTCAGTTATTAATTGTGATTGAATAAAATCAGTTGCTTCAAATCTTTTAATATGATGTCCAGTTGTATTTTGTGCTGTTTGGCAAAGTTCACGAAGTGTTCGAAATTGAAATGCAGCTGTTTGATAAAAATCAGATGAACTTGAATCGTTCGAAAATAATTCATAGAAATTATAAAGCTGATCAATAAATTTATCAGATATTAAATCACTTTCATTTTGACATAATTCATGATAGTGTGGTTTAATGTCAACAAAATTTTTATATGAAATTGCTATTGTTTTACAAGGACATTTCAATGAAAATTCTTTTGGTAAATTTAAATATTCTTGAAAGGAAGGAGATTCTTTTTTGATTGTATTTTCATAAAGAAGAAGAGAATAATAAGAACCTGTGATTATTATAGCTGTTATTAGAAGAATTAAATACAAACGGGTTGATCGACGTTCATTTCGTATAATCAATTCACTTTCATTACCACTTTTAAATAAATTTAATCGAAGCAAATGAAATTTTAAAAATGATGCAAATGCATATAAATGATTGCGGAGAGTTGTAATATTCATCTTAATCTAAAATATATTTCACATTTATTGAAAACAAACTATCAGAGATGCAACAATGACAGTAATTCATCGGTAAACGGTGAGATCAGTGGGTTGCGTATTGTCACTACTGCATCCATTCTAGGTTACATAGTAATTTTTTCAATATTCAACTGCGTAAATATGTTTGAGAAACTTAAGTGTATTTAGTGTATTCATCTAAATATCTATTAAAGTAGTGCAGCGTTTAGTTTTAGTACTAACTCGTGAGAGAAACATATTCAAATAAATTCTTTGTCATGACCTATGAAAATTTTTGGGATCTGATAGAAACAAAGGGGAAAAAGCGGACCCTGGGTTCTCTGAACCTTAGGATTCTACAGATTCTTTCAGATCCTATAGATTTTTACGGATTCTATGGATTCTTTTAGATCCTGTAGATTCTTGTGGATTCTCCTGGCTCCTGATGGATTCTAGAATATATTTTTGAATATATTTCAGTATTGATGATGGTGTGTTTGTAACTAACAACTCTCATTTGTATCTTTACAATGATTTATGGATTGTATTGAATAAAAAAAGTGCTATTTTGGAACAATTTATATTGCTCTACATTTGAATATATGTATAATTAAGGGTGTGGGTGTGAGTGTAAGAAGAATCACACCCATCCACACCCACACCCTTAAGAAAATCTACCTGGTCTATCACACAAAGTTCCTTCTACAAACATCGATGAGAAACCCATGTCACGAAGATTTCCACAAGTTGACTGGTCTTCCTCCGATTGCTACGATTCCTCCAATAATTACACCACCCACGTCGATTTCTAACGCTACCTACGACTTCACTCAACATCAAGATCCCTAATCTCACTCGCAATTTCATCCTTCATCGAGGTTCAAACCTCACCTACGATTTCTCCATACATCGAGATCCCTAACCAAACTCATACTTTCGCCGAACATCAAGATTTTTATACCTAAGAGTAATTCTGTCAAACGATGGCCATACCTTTATAGGGACTTAGTAGCATAGACCCGTGTACTATCCACTACAGTTTTCATCAATAACAGTGTTTTGCACAAAAAGCAAGTCAACAATCAACGATACACTTGGAAACAACACTGCTCACCATCACTATATGACACACACACTCACAACTACTTCCACTTTTTCTCGTCCATTCCAGCCTTACACGACTGACTCTCACCCATTATCATCCACTTCCACTCGCTCTTATACTATTTCACTTACTTCTAATGACTCCCACCCTTTTTCAGTCACTTCAACCGATCCGTAACCTATTTTATCCATTTTCACCCACTCCTACCCCACTTACTTTACTACACCTATTTTCACCCACTATCACCCACTCCCACCATATTTCATCCATTTCCACCTTACTCCACCCACTTCTGTCCTATTCCACCCAGTTCTACCCTATTTCACCATTTCCACCCACTTCTACCTTATTTCACCCTCATCCACACCCATTCCTACCTACTTCTACTCTATTTCACCCAGTCCATCCGTTTCCATTCAGTTCGATCCTATCTCACCCAATGAAGGGAGGGAAGAGCAGAAGCCGGACTCCCGAGGATTCCATGAAGCCGTTTTGAATTCCAGGATTCCAGATTCCGCTCTTTTCCACTTGCACCCACCTATACCCTATTTCACCCAGGCCACCCATTTCTGTCCTATTTCATCCATTTCCACCCTATTCCACCCACTTCTACTCTCTTTCACCCAGTCCACCCATTTCTGTCCTATTTCACCCAGTCCCTCCTGCCTCTACCCTATTTCACCCACTTCTACTCTATTTCACCCACTCTCAAGTTATAAGGATCGCTTGACGTTATGATAGTGAAATCTGACTGGTTGAAAAAATTGCCTGATCAAATAAGAGTGCATATTTTACTATACTGTCTATGCAAAGCATAATAAAGCAATTAGTTAATTAATGAATGAATTACTATTCTACTAATGAAAAATCATTCACAAAAGTATAAATTAATTATGTGTACTCTAAGTAATTTTTATGGGTTGTCGTCGAGCACCCATTGTAACGGTCTAGAAGCTATCTAACGGTGTCCTTAATCAAAGAGAAAAAGCGAATGCTAATAGGTCCTAAAATCCATAAGGATCTTTTAGGGTTTATTGGGATCCGATTATCCAACATCAGCTGTTCCCTGAAGGATCTACTATGATCCATTAGGATCCGTTTTTTCCTCTTGTTTTGCTCACTATCTATCTGAATATTTTATACGTTTATATAAAAAGTTCTTCTCCGTTTTTCATAGAAGTAAATACACTTACCATTAATCTTCACAAAAATTATTTTGAACTATCTATCTCGGGTAGAATCTGGTTTCTCTCAACTTTTATTTGCATCAGTAACTTAATAAAAATCGTTTCTAATCTATAAATCATTACCTTTTTTTGATATTGTCTTGTGTAAGTGAGACATAGAACAATTCTTTTTTGTTAATCGAGCGCTAATGTTAATTAATTATGTGTGCGTCACAATAAAAAAAACTGCCTTATGTGCTACTGGAAAAGAATGCTCATTTAGATAGAAATTTTATTCGCCAACGCAATCAAGTTGATATAACATTTTTATTGAACATCTGCAATAAAACACAACGTCGCAATTATATGTAAATTGAAACAATAAACTCGCTTCGCTTGCCAAAATTACTGTTGAACAAGATAATGTCAAATATGAGTAGGTTGAAATAACAGACCATAATGGAAATGTTAAATTTTTTAACGTGATACGTAGGCAAATCATTTCAGTCAATATTTTAACTTAATTATAGCTAAAAACACAGTGAAAACCAGGATTTTTTTTTGAGGAAATGCAATGGTTCTGAGAAAAAAATATTCAAATAGATCCTTTGTCATGACGTATGAGAATTTCTGAAACCTAACAAAAGCTCTCTCCAGAATTTGCAAATGGTGGATATAGTAGAGGCTCTCGAAGAACTTCTAATATGAGGAGGAGTTGTCGTCGTGAACTCTTTTGGCTGTATTATTACCTCTTTTTGTATCGATTATACTCATTTTTTCATCGGCTCGGTCCTTTCTTTGGAGCAAGGAACATGACGAAGATGGAGTTGAAGAGAGCTTTGAAACGTTAATCTCATATCATTGACTTATTGTGTGGATATAGATGAAGGATCAATATGCACGCTCGTACCCATGCGTTTTCTTAGGAATATATTCTTTTGATCAAAGTCGACCTCAAAGTTTCAGTTTGAAGAGCTTCCCATGCTGACAATTTTTATTATCATTATTTGAAAAACGACAAAATTTGAAAAATAATTTAAATTTCTCTTTCTCATTCATCTCGAACCCATACAAGTGACTATAGTGCTTTAGTATTAGTTCAGTGGTAACATTTATATCAGTTTTACCTTGATAATTAATTTAAAGACTTCGAGCGTATCAATTGTATTATTTTCCGAAATAGACACTTTAATTCACATTATTTAATCATCATATATCTAAATCAAAGTAAAATTCATGATAATATTGAATCAAATCTGAGACATCTTTCAGTTAGATCTATCAAAAACACATGAATCGTATAAAATTCAACTGACTTTCCATTTGAATATACTACCTTCAAAATATCTCTATATTAACAAATGACTGGCTATAACTGGATACAAATAGATATATCAGCTACACTGTGAAACGTCTACAAAATTAAAAAATGTATGTCATTGATATTACAACTCATAGAAAAGTAGAAGTTTTTCAATCTTTTATTAGATTGAAAGTGGGATGTTTTTGCCATTACATATGTACTTTTACGTTAAAATAGAGTGGTTCGTTTGACATTAGTATTAAAAAGAAATACTAATATGGGCGTATTAGGATTAAGAGACTTAATCAGATATTTTCGTACTAATGTCAAGTAAAAAAAATAATCTGATACCTTACTGATTATATTGAGTTAGAGTCTATATTATATTATAATTTCTATAATACAAGATTGATTCTAAAAAACCATTTCTATTCTATATGCTTATTTACTTATATTGAAGATACCCTAGGGAATATCTTTGATATTTCTGTGCAAGATCCGTGACAGATCCTCTAAGGATCCTGCAAGGATTCGTACTTTTTTCCTGAGGAAACGATTAAATCCTGAAAGAAGTGTGTAGCCATGGAATTTCAGGATCTTGACAGGATTCAGAACAAGATTTTCTAAGGATCCTAGCAAGATTACCATTGTGTTTTAATCTTGGAACGAGATAGGGAACCGCTAAATCCTGAAAGAAACGTGTAGCCACGAAATCTCAGGATCTTAACAGGATTCCAAATAAGATTTTTCTAGGACTCTCTCATGTTAGTATCAAGTTTTATACAGGATCCTTTCAGGATTTATGCACCTATTTTTTAAAAATATATTTCAGGTTTCGTTCAGGATACTTTCTAATTCCATCAGGTTTCTGTATAACTTACACGAACGAATCTCCTAGAACTAGTCACATAAACTCTGTTTGCATATACTTACAAGTTCAAAACTTAGCAGTATCGTGGCAGGATTGTGTCAGGATCGTCGCAGGATTTTCTAAACAGAACGAATTAAATGTGAACACATAGAGTATCGAACTCTAGACCTTCAGTTCATTAACTGAACAGCTAACCCAGCTGGACTGTGTTCTCGTTTAGAAGTGATGTAAAATGTCATTTTTATGTTTCTTTTCTATTTTCTTACTTTTTTCTATTTTGCCAATTTAAAATTTAATAATTTTAATTATTATTTATTTATTAATAAATTAATTCTAAATCTATCAAACTAATTTTTCATTATTTCTGGAATTGAAAATTTGATAAATTATTTTTTTAAAATTAATTAGTAAATCCAAATTATGCTTAATTTATATTTTCCTACTTATTTTTTTCATATGCAGAATTGAATTTTTTATAAATGAATTATTAATTTTTTTTATTACTCACTAAATTCAGAATAATATAAATTAAATTGTTTTACCTGTTCATCATAC